AGGTCATTAGATTGGGATGAGGCGCGACACTTTTTTGCATCTTATCCTTGGCGTAGGGTCTGCTTTTCTTCTGGAGATCCGTCGAGCTGCGCAGATGCTATAGCCGATGTGGTGCGTCAAGGCATGGAGTATTACATACCGTGACGTGCCCGATGGTGGCATAACTCGCCCATGCTATAACGCCGAATGCGTTCGAGCAGAAAAGCGTAAGCATTCGGCATATCTCACCTGGGTTGATGCTCGACACGGCAGAGTTCCTAATATAAAGTCCAAGAAGAAAGCCTTTAACCAAGCTGCCAAGTCTTGCAAGAAGACATCACAGAAAGCTGGTAAAGACCGCATGAGACATATCGGCGCAAAACTCTCGGTCCAGCCTTCGGGCAGTAGAGAATTTTGATCATTCGCCAAAGCGATCGAAGCCAATTTCTGTAAGCCTACGCTGCTTCCGCTGGTAAGACCGGATGGTTCCCTGGCTCACGTGGCAATTGAGAAAGTGAACCTAGTTGCACCTCTCTTTGCCAAAAACTCGCGTCTAGACTCTGGCAACAACACTCCACCACAGATACCTTATTGCGGTACCTCTATGCCTGAGGTACGCATTATAAATAGACAAAGCTAGTGAGCCTGATGGTATACTAGCGGTTGTACTAAAGTGCTGCGCGCCCGGGTTGTCTCTTGTATTGACAAGCTTATTTCGCCTCTCATTTCAGACTGGGATAGTGCCCAAATCATGGAAGCTTGCCAATGTTCAGCCTGTGCCCAAAACAGGAAGCCGTGCTGATCCGTCCAACTATAGGCCAATCTCAATTACCTCCATACTCTGCAAGATTTTGGAGCGTATATTGAACAGACGCCTAATGGCATACCTAGAACACAATGATCTCCTCAGCGACCGATAGTACGTGTTTCGCCGAAACCGGTCTACGGGAGATCTTCTAGCTTATGTCACTCACATATGGGGCGAGGCTTCTATCGTACCGTTTATCCCTGGGCCTGATCAGCTGGAACAATGACTTTTTGAGAGAACGTTCGTTCCGAGTCGTTGTCAATGGCCGTTCATCACGAGCAATGGCAACCAATGCCGGAGTTCCTCAGGGGTCTGTTCTCTCCGCAATTCTTTTCCTGTTGCACATTAACGATTTGCTCATACCCGGTATCTATGGGTACGCAGATGACAGCACAGTTGTGGAGAGACACCTGCCTAACGCCCGGGCCACTAAAGACCAAATACAGTCTGTAAGAGAGGCCATGGTAGCGCTTATGAGTCTCATACTTCAGGCCGTCTCCGAATGGGGCGATGCCAACTTTGTGAAATTAACGCCACCAAAACACAAACGTCTCTGTTCATCGCCAAACGGAGCCCGTTCACCTTGGCTCCTACTCTCCGAAATGTCTCCTTGGAATACACCGACCGCCTTTAGTTATTGGGAGTAGAGATATCCTCTAACCTTAACTTTGAGCGGTTCATTGAATCCAAATCTAAAACGGCAGCTAGAAAGCTAGGTATCCTAGCGAAAGTCCGGCGGTACTTCACACCAGAACAGCTTTTGATGTTGCTGCTGCCACATTTAGGCTGGTGCCACAAAATGTCACCTTTCGGCATTGGATTCAATGGAGAGGCGTGCGAGAAGACTAATGGGCGACCTGAAATTAGTTGAAACCAATCTGCATAGCCTTCAACACAGATGCATGGTTGCTAGCCTCTCGGTATTCTACAGGATACATTTTGGAGAGTGTGCGCTGGAATCGCACCACCTAATTCCCCCCTCCCCATTCTACCATCGAACGTCTCTACGCACGGCTGGTATACATCCTTTCGTCGTCAACGTCCCTCCGGTAAGAACAGCGTGATTTGATTCATCATTCATAATACGTACTGCCAAGGACTGGAATAAACTGCCAGCGTCTGTATTTCCATTCGATTTTAATGTGAATGTCTTCAAATCAAGAGTGAATAGGCTGTTACTAGGTTAATGCGCTACACCACCCAAGGCTTCATCACCACTTACCATCAGGTGCGATCGTAGTCAAACGTTAACCTATAAAGTATAAAAAAAAAACTGAACAATAGACATGTTTGATTGAATAAAAAGGTATTAGGGTTTCTAACAGGTGATGTTGGATAACGATTTCCTTTCTTTTTTTTAGATGGCGAAACGAAAACAATGGATAGAAGATCTAAAGTCGTATAATGAAGAAACAAAACAAACAGATAAAAAGCCTAAAATTCAAGTTTTAAGTGATCATAACATAACAGCATTTTATTTTAACGACACATTCAGTATTTTCTTTGCTTACAGCTTTATTTTGGTAACAATTCTATTTCGTCGTTAGCTGAACATCTCTTTTGTGCTACTCAATTATTGAAATACTTCAAATACATCGTTTTTAAGCTCTGTTCTTTTTTCTTAAATAACTTATCCTTAGAAATCTATAAATTACTTACAGCGTTCTTATGGTTGGCAAATAAAAAGAAAATTGCTGTAAGTGTTAAAAAACCTGTTTACTATAACTTTAAAACTAAATTGACCATTGCTTTTTATGCATACTATTTCAATAAAACTGCATGCAAAAAATTATCTTTCTGTTACGAATAATTTAAAAGTTATGATTTTTTTTCTATTTTTTAAATGGTTTTTTGGCTCTGGTGTAAAGTTGGGGTTTAGATACTTACAGCAATTACGTTTAAATTCTTCTACATGCCTGTAGATAGTGTGAATGAAAAGAAAACAATATTATAATAACATTTATAATCTTAATTTTATGAAAAATATAGATATGTAAGGTGTAATATTATTATGTGCCAAGAGTTCATGAGATAGGTAAGTTAAATATACTAAACAACTATGGGACGAAAACTGAATTAGCGAAAAAATAATCAGCGTTTTCATACTGCTGGCGATTGAAAGTATTACCATTTTGTATGTAACAAAAAGCTGATTATTTTTTTGATAATTTATTGTTACTCCTACAGAACACAGAAAGACTCCCATAGCAAAAGTTGTAAAGTTTATTTAACTCATCCACCCCACGAAGTCCTGGGGTATAATAATATTACACCTTATATATGTATAAAACAATGAAATAAAAAACAAATGTAACTAATTTGTTATTTGCGATGTTGGTAAACGTGAAAATTAATATTAAATGATATTATCCAAAAAGATTGTTATCCTTGTGATACAAGAGGTGTTTTTTTATACAGAAAATTTAGGTGTTCATTTCAAATGATCTAAAAAGGTCTAATTGTTAATAAAAAGCATCAATACCAAAGTAAGGGTTAAATAATGGTAAAATAATGTTTTTTTCATCAACGAATGCAAAACTTTTTAAATAACAATGAGAAAAAAAAACATTACAATATTAGATATCGCTACGGTACGTTCTTGATTTCTCCATGACCACTCTTTCGGTTTTCTTTCATCTATAAAAGTAAATTAGTTTTCAAAACTCAGTAAACAACTCATATTCTATTTGTACTTTTTCGTATTTTTATTGATTTCTAAGTTTCGAACTTTATCTTTACTTTAAATATCAGTTTTTAATATGTTAGTTAAAAGGAACGGTGATGACTGTCTTTAGTCCAATCGTTTCCTGCAAAAATCAGCTTTTGCTAGAGTCGCCATCTAGTGGAGGTGCTTTTTTAGTGCTTTCTTTTTTTTAATACTTCCCCATTTAGACCTTATTTGTCCTATATTAAGAGGTACATTAGTATTATCGATCCAATAAATTAAGAAAATTTAAGACAATATTAAAATTAAAACGCTACCATTTTGATTCTAAAATAAACATAAATACCATATAAGTTTGTGCTAAAAACGAAAAATTAATAAAATTGACGACCTATAGCAGGAGCGACGTCTTTCTATAGTTATTTATCGATATTTACTAATTAAATTTTTCCACCTTTGACGAGGTCCTACTTTTGTAGATAATATAAGTTTTTTGAAGATTTATATTTGAATTTAATTTCACAGCTGTGCTCGCACCACCCGCAATAGTATTTTTTCAAGATTTGTATATTTTTATGTTTGTTTACATTACACTACTGGAAATCGTGTAAGTTTCTTTTTAAATTGCAAAACTTATTTGCTTGAATTATAAAGATTTGTAGTGAATCTTTTCAAATAATCTTCTTACTGGATGGAGTTAATCTTAATTAAAAATAGATCAATAATTTGTATAAAACACATCGATATCTCACACTAAAATCAATAATCAAAATAGTTGGTAATAGAGATAAGCAAATGGGAAAAAAATATCGATATATTTGAAATATAAAAATATTTGAGTTGATATACCAATATTTCTGAAATAAGCGACTATCTGTGATAAGCGATAATAAGCGATTATCAATGAAAATTTTCTAAATATTCGAAATTTTGAAGCAAATACACATCTGGCTGTAATGACATCAGTTTTATTATTTAAAATAGCTACATAAAGCTAAGAAAACAACATCATCAACATAATAAAAATTACATTATTGACATCAGGAGCACACTCATTGATACTAACCAAACCAATAAGCAGTGCCATTGTTATAGACAAACAAAAAAGACAAGCAGGTCATAGATTAAACTCATACAGCCTACTGCCTACCTACTCTTTTTTTAAATTTAAGAAACATATGATGAAACAGCATGAGCAGACAGCAGAACTTTAAAAATATATATCGATTTTGATACGAATTTGATATCTGAAAATAAATATCGAAAGATGAAATGTCGCGGAAAAAATATCTTCGATTTATATCGATATCTTAAGAAAAAATATCGATAGCTTTTGCCCAATCCTACGTCGCTAACGGTCCGATGACATATGTCAAAAGGCACCTCATATTTTGATACAGAGATACTCTTCTTTATTATATTATAGCGCTCTGTCTATGATAAATGGCATAAAATAAATTAAATTCTACCTACATGTAAAATAAAAATGAAATGAACGAAAGATGGCAAAGTGAAGTCCCTGTAATTACTCTTTGGTTTGTGAAAATTAGTCTCCTTGGTCTGTGCTATTACTAAGAGCGGGAAAATTTTAGGTTTCAATTATTTATTAATTTAAAAATAATGCGCCGTAATTGGAGAGGAGGGCGACATAGGAATAACTGGTACAGATCTAACAAAACAACTACTACTGATACTACCAGCTTGAATAATTCTAACGTCTCGGCTCGGCCAACTAATATCTCTGGGGTATCGAGAGCACCTGCGAACCAATTGCCTGTAGTTTTATCTCTCAATAGCGAAAATGATCCGTGGAAATTATACTTGCCATCTGAAGGTCTTGTATATTTTAATATTTTACTAGTAATTGTATTCTTAAAGTTAGTAGTTTCTTTTACCTGTGATTTATAATTATTTATAACCTCTGCTTTTCCAGATTACCCACCAAGCACTGAAGTTTCAAACCACATAAAGTGTTTTAATGCATTCTTAGAGAAAAATAAAAGTTTGTTTGACTTGGAAAAAATTGACCAAACTCGCAGTGTCCCTTTAGATGTACAAAGTATCACAAATGACCCAGAATTCAGTAGTGGTTGGCCCACCTTTAGTTCGGATTTATTTGAGAAACCTGAAACTACATTACATTTATTAGAGTATTGTTTGCATCAGGTAATATTGAAATAAGTAAAAATTGATCAAATATAATAATGTATGATATTTATCATAACTTTTCTTTATCTTCCAGACATTAAAATGTGAATCAAAAATTAAAGTAAGGGTACTTAATCATCAGCCTGTTATTCCTTTATCTAATTTAAAAGCTAATTACTATGGTAAGTGTGAAAGTAATTAATTATATTGTTAAACTTACATCAATATAAAAAAATATGTATAGTTGGCCTTAACCATCAAATATTACATTAAATTTAGATGATTTTTTTATTTCCATTAAAGATATTTTCATTTCATACTTTCAGGTAAACTAGTAACAATCAAAGGAACAGTAATAAGAGTTGGAAGCGTAGGTCTAATATGCACTTCTATGGCATTTGAATGTTCAAGTTGTCATGGTATTCAAGCCATAGTCCAACCACAAGGGGTATTTACAGGTAATTTTTGTAATTGGCAGGACTTTGAAAACAAGGAGTGAGAAGTGTACCAATAGACTTATGACGCTAGTGGCTCTATTAGAACTTTTTTCAAAGACTAGAAAAATCTATAGAGTAAAACGGGAACCCTATTATTAAGATTGCTGTTTTTCTGTCCAACTGCCAGTTCATCTGTCACTAGGCTGTATAGTAATAGTTCTTAATTTTCCCAGATGATGTAGGGTAGCTATAACAACAAATACTAAAAAAAAATGTATTTAATGAAGCTCCCATACAAATACGTGATACTTTTTAGTATGGAACTCTTCATGGGTATCTTGAACTTGCTCTTGTACATCGAACTTGCAATTGGTCAGATTTGATTTAGATAATAATAGGAGGCATAATTTGTTACCATGAGAAGCTTGTTTTCAAGTCAAGGTAGCCACCATATTATGATTTACTTTTAGCCCCACAAGTGTGTCCAAATTGCCGTGGTGGATCAAGATATGATCCTCTGCAGTCATCACCATTCACAAATACAACAGATTGGCAAGTAGCTAAGATACAAGAAATCCAATCACAGGTAAGAGTCATTGTAAACATCATTTTAATTGATCGTTTATCACATTTATGACACATTATTTATGTATATTTTGCCAAAATTTTCAGGGTATATCAGGCACCATCCCAAGAAGTGTAGAAATAGAATTACAAGGTGACTTAGTAGGTACCGCATGTCCTGGAGACGTGCTTTCTGTTACTGGAATTGTGCAGGTATGATTTTTGCATGCCACAATATAGATGGTTTTTATGGTAACCGAACAGAAAGAATTTCGTACTATGACCCGCCACCACATATCTCTTTCACTTGTGGGCGAACATACTGCTATTGCGCTCGTACAGAGACATCTGGGCAATTTTTGTCAGTAAAATATTTATAGTATTGTTACGACTTAGAATTCGGGATAAATATTAGCGCCAACTATAATTCACAATCCCACTTTATTTAACACAATAAAATTACAAAAATAACTAACAACGAAATACACACTTTAACATAACTTTTTCACTTCACTATGGTCACTTCACAACACTAATAGATTGTTCACCGCACCACTCTCCCAATGGGGGGAAGGAGGTGGTGAATCCTTCATTGGATACCACACAGCCGGCTGTGAGGTTATGTCAGAGTCTTACTGACTAAACACCGCCTTGGACAGCTGGTTACATGCCGGAAGGCAACAAACCTTCGACCGGAGCGACCGCCCCCCCGCAAGGGGGGGGGGGCGTAGACGTCACTATTCACATACGTTAATTGTGACATCGAGATGTTAGCCGTTAACCCCGGGGAGGCTCGGCTTATCGGATTGAAATACAGCTGATTCCCTGATGGGGATTTCGCTGTGAAGCGGTCCTTTTTATGGATATGCTTTTGCACTCCATGACGGAAGTTGAGGGGGGCGGCGATGCCTGGGATGCCGACATCACCTCGCAAATCATGGTTTGGATGCGGCTATCAGGCAAAATTCGCTGTAGCTCATCGAATGAGAATTATTTTTCATACATCGGCAATGCAAAACCGTTATATTCAAGAGAGAGAGAGGAGTAGTTGTGTTTCACTCGTATTTCTCTCCGTCACACCTACCTTGGTAGGTTAGAGGGAGATAGGGCGAGTATGCAAAGAGACCAACCCCGCGCATGAGCGAGGGGGAAGGGGGACGCAGAAAGGTGCGGCTATCCCTAATGGAATTAGCGGCAAACCTTCACCCTTGGGACAAGGTCCAAGTACACTGGGATCGGGTCTTCGGTGTTGCTAAAGCCTGAGGAGCCTTAGCGAGCGCACCGGGATCGCTCAGCCGGCTTAGTTGCCACCGTATGGTATCCACCGACTCAAGAAGTTGAAAGTGAGTCAAGTCCTACTGTTTTAATGTTTTGAAAAAACAAAGCAGCAGGGCCTGCACTCGGGGTGTGCAGAAGACACGAGATGTACTCACAGTTTGGGTAGAAGAGAGTCGTGTACGCGCACGGGGGCGCGCAACGAAAGCTGGAAGTGGAATGACGGGAGGGCTAGTCCACCGCGAATTTATAGGGGTCGATGCCACATCTAGAATGTTCTAGGTTAAAATCTAGAACATTCTAGGTTGGCCTCGGCCACGGTATATTCGATGCATTACCAAAAAGTTCTAGAACAGCTACCCTTTCTTCCCCAGTGACTGTCCCTTTCTCGCCGACCCAATATACACCTATAGGTATGACACAGGTAGTTAAAAAAAAGAAAAAAGGTTCAACAGTGTCAAGAGTATTCATTGGCGCATAACGCCATCTAGTAATGCGTAAACAAACCGTGTCACGTTAACCGTGACAATATTTTTCAGTACAGCAGAGTAATTCCGTAAAAAAATCGAATTCACTCAGTTGTCAGAACTCACTTCGAAAGCCACATCTGCTTAACCTTGGATTGATATTAACATTTCGTGGCATAATTGAAGTTAGTTTCTAAATGACATAGGGATAGAATATCTGAGACACATATGAATTAGTCAAACTTGTTTTATATTTTTATAAAAAAAATAGAATCAATAGAATTTCTAGAATAAATGACGTAACGTCGGTCACCTGAATGAATCCGAATTCTGAATTGGATTTTTACGAAATCACTCTGCAGTAGGCACAAAGGTCAAAATTCTTCCTGTTCGGCGACTATGCTAAATTTGGATAAAAACCCCTTAACTCTCACTATTTACATAATGAATTGTTAAATAAATAATATAAAACATATCGTTAATATAATATCAGCGTGTTCATGTTCATTGATAAAATTATCAAAATAATTTTCATTGTATATTATTATCAAAATAATTTTATAGCTATGGCTACAGTTAAGCGGGCACTATCCGTTATTATTGTAGGTAAGAGGGGAGAGTAAAGGTGGTGAAGATGGAAAAAGAGCTGCCAGATTATTACAACTTTACATAGAAGCTGTCTCAATACACAGCCAAAGAAACTTAAGTAATCCATCAATGTCATTTACCATAAAAGATTATTATGCAATACAGGTAATTAAAGATCTAATCAAATCAATTTTTGAATACATTTTTTAATCATCATTTATAAAAAATTGAAATCTACTTAATTTAATTTATAAAATTCTAGGAAATTCACGCCTCAGATGATGTGTTCAGACTATTAGTTCATTCCCTTTGCCCTACTATATTCGGTCACGAAGCAGTGAAAGCTGGTCTCATACTTGGACTAATTGGTGGAACAGAATTAGAAAACGGTCCAAGATCGAATCCTCATATACTGATTGTTGGAGATCCAGGATTGGGAAAGTCTCAGTTACTTCAGGCTGCTGCGCATGCAGCACCAAGAGGTTGTTGTCTATGCAAATAAATATAATTGAAGTGTCTGTTGTAAGATTAAAATAACCACTTTTAATTAAATGTATATAGGTATATGTAAACACACTACATATACCAAAATAACATTTTATGTCTGTTTATCCCGGCTAATTCTGACATTGCTGGAACGATTTTGATGAGACTTTCACTACCAGATAGCTTGTGTAATGAAGAAAAACTTAGGCTACATTGTATACAACACAACCAGTATTTGCATATAACAGTTTATTGTTCCTTGATGTAGAGAAATAAAAGTCATGATGATTGATTAGGTATTACTTATTTATTCTGATTTGAAGATAAACAATATATGAAAGTGGATTAGTTGACGAGATCCATAGCTGATTGGTTCGCACACCAATTTTAAAGGATTACAATGTTTGATGTCCCGGCTTTGATTCCCTATAGGATGTAGTGATTGACACCTTCGATATTCCAGAGCTCCATAATGCAATAATAGTACAATAATGGCTACTTGAATTGCGATATGAAGAATGTATGTGATGTCTGATATTTATATTAGTTATAATATAACAATTATTTTTATCTGTTACATAATGAATCTAAGACTTTTAAACTCACTATCACACTTACCACCATATTCGAATCTATCAGTAAATGAGATCACTTTAAGTAGCAAGACTACCAATCATTAATAAACTGTCTGATTGAAATGAGGAGGTATTTAAAAAAAGCATTTAAAAGCACCTCACTAGATGGCGACGAAGCAAAAGTTGAATTTTGCAGGAAACGAATATACCAAAGATAGTCATTTCCATTCCTTTTAACTAACATATTAAAAAACTGAAATTTGCAAAGTTGGAAACTAAGATATCGATACGAATACGAAGAAGTACAAATAGAATGAGTTGTTTAGAGTTTAGAAAATTAATTTACTTTTATAGGTGCATGAAAGAAAACCGGAAGAGTTGTCATGGTGAAATCACGAAAATACCGTAGCGACATCTAGTTTGATTTTGGGAACAAATTTTCTTTTTAATACTGCGTCATTGTTGTTGTAACGTTTTTATTTAGGCGGTGCCTATACCGGACTTGATTTTTTGCCCGGTTTGTGGTTGCTCTTTTCCTCTTTCTTGTAATTTTGAACATTTTCTTATATTATTTACCACTAATTACAACAATATTTATTAAAATTGTTAAAAATATATATTATCATGTATTGCAGGAGTATACGTATGTGGAGCGTCAGCATCAGCAGGGGGCCTAACTGTAGCATTAGGACGCGAATCAGGAGGCGATTTTGCCCTCGAAGCTGGAGCATTAGTTCTAGCAGACAAGGGAGTTTGCTGCGTAGATGAATTGGATAAGGTGACAATTTATTATCATACACAAATTTTCTACTTTACATGCCCTGTATTTATCCACGGTATAAACGATCCTACACTAAATGTATATACATGAAACACATATTATATCGATTATGAAACAGCAATCAGATGAACTCTACAGCGTGTTTGGTAATACATGTATAATCCCGAAACATGGCCATACGACTTAGCACAAAGAACATAATTAATATGTCAAAAAACAATTTCACGTAAATTGAGATTTTCATACAAATATTTGAACAATTTGTTTTCAAATAATATTCTACAACCCTGAAAGCTTATTCGTGCCGTCCCGGCGTACTCACTCTCTCTCTCTCTCTCTCACACACACACATTACGTCTCACTCTCTCTCGTTTCCTAGAATACACTTTGATTTCGCCGACGCGCGCACTTGACTGCGTATGAGTTTACTTATAATTAAAACAATTTAAGATTAAACAGGTACATACCTAGAGGCATCGTTCTAATCACTCTCTCAGCTCTCACTTGTCAACATTACCTACACTTCACCTCCACTTTATCAGTCCAAGGACTCGATATACCGGCCACCGCATAAAACACACATCTCCATTCGATTTGACACAGACCGTGTTACTCTCGACGTAAAATCATATCCTCTCTCGATGGAATAGGTGTTCGGCCGGCCTTCCTGTATTACACTATGGAATGAACCAGTTGTATGTAACCGATTCACAAGTGCCGCGAAACACTGTTAAGAAGCAAGACGTCGAGGGTTTTCAGATCTTCCTGACACGTGGCGCTCGTCATAAAGCCGCCGAGCCGCAGTAAGATTACCGTCACAAGCACCAACACACAATATCATCTCGTAATATTAGGCATTTGAGTACGAACTCATTGCACTGACCGCACACAAACACAACACACAGGTAAATAGAACGAGTATGAAAAGCAAACCAAAAGTCCCGGAAGAACGAAAACGTAAATTGACCTTCTAAATTCTGAAAACTCACAAGTACACCGATGAAAGTCTCCGACGCGTCTGAAGCGATGACCAAAACTACATAGGTAATTATTACAACTCGAACACCAATGTAGGTACCTAAATCAAAAGTGCACCGATTTAGGGTTCCGCGTCATCAAATTCTGTTTTAGGTAACCTACCTAACAAAAAATCGTTATTTTATTATTTAATTAAACAATGAAATTTCAATGAAACTTATTATACAATTTTTTTTTACTGACTAAATTGATAATTAGGCTGTTTACTTATTATTACAATTTTATTTACGCTTTTCACAGTTACAAAAGAAAAAAAAAGGCCATAATATTAAAAGTGGTTACCTAATTTAAGACCAAGTCATTAACAAAATTATAAGGCATAAAAATTATTGATTAAATTAGAAAAGAAAAGAAATATTATTTATAATTAGACCTTTCCATTACAACTAACCTTTATTTAATTATCATTTAAACTAAGAATAAGCGATATATTTAGATTATTAATATCATTGTATAAGTCCGTATTTTATTGTTTCGTGAAAATAACACTGGTTTATGAAAAAAATAACAAAACTTCAAAGCAATTAATCTACAGAACCTTACTGACACATCAGAAACCCGAGTTTCTCAATACACATCGTCGTCTATTTTATGTCTCTGTCGCTCCTTCTTGCATAGACTAATGAGAGCAATAGTGCAGATATCTAACTTCAATCAAAATATTTGCAATTTCTTTTTTATTTTGACTGTATTATTAGAGAAGATTTCTCAATAATAGTTTTTGAAACACCGGTAATCACAAGATTGGTGTACTTTTATGGTTAAAAGTCATTTACTACTAACTTTTTCTTTGTTTTGAAATAATAAATTACTCTCGGATGCATATTTATTCTAGGCATTTATCTTTAGATTTATTTAACTTCTGTTATTTTTTAAACTAGTTCGGCACATGGAGTCGATGACCAAATACAACACAACAGCTGTTTTTAGGGTCGTCAGCGTACAGTTTTCCTTTGAAGAAAAAAGCTAAATACCTAGGTCATGTGTTGGGTTTCAGACTTAGTGATTATTTTTCTGGGTTCTATTTATCATATCGTATGTGCCATATTCGGGATTATACAGGTATTACCAAACACGCTGTATAAGAATGATGATGTCCTTCATCAAGATGATTCGGAGGAAATTGTGCCTACTTTTCTTGCCACCTAGTTGACCAATGTTTCACTTCGAGTTACTCAAAACTTACAATTTTAACCAACTTATAAAAATGGAGGTTCTCAGTTTGACCTGTATGTATGTTTGTGCGGTTATCTCGCGTTTGACTGAACTGATTTTGTAAGGTTTTCAGCATAGTATTTGTCAGACTTGGAACAAGGTTTTAGGTATATTACCTTACAAAAAAATTGGAGGTTCGCATCTTAACACGTGTAGTATGTGTTATACGCGATTTTGCTGATTTTGACGTGGTTTTCAGAAAAGTATTTTTCTTTATTATGTTGTTTTTATTAAAATTTTGTCATCAATTGACTAAAGTTCCCTTCGTCATCACCAGCCTATTAATGTACTAACTACTGGGGCTCAGGCCTTCCCTATGAATGGATTTGAATAAGGAATCATGGATGGATAGAATGCAGCCGGGACCAACAGTCTAACATGCCGTCAGAAGCACGGAGGGACTCGAGATAATAATTTTTGGTCACCCGTCCTATGAGCGGCCCTTGCGAAAGTTAACTTAACAACGGTATCGCAGACCAACTCCTTACAGTTAAGACCTATATTAACTATATTATACATAACAGATGACCGCACACCATAGTAGTTTATTGGAAGCAATGGAACAACGTCGCGTTAGCGTCGCTAAAGCAGGTGTTGTATGCAGTCTTGCTGCTCGTGCAACAGTATTAGCTGCTGCTAACCCAGCTGGAGGAAGTTATAACAGGTGATATTAAAAATTGGACTTTTGGCTATTGCGAGGATGGGCCATGATCCTCCAGTGCGGTTTAGAGGATATTAACGACTGAAGATGCACCTAGGACCAACAGCTTAACGTGCCATCAGAAGCGCGGAGTAGCACGAGATTATAATTTTTTTGGTCACCCATCCTGTGACCGACCCTTGCGTAAGTTGCTTAACAACAACGATCGTGAGCCGTAGCACTTAACCACTTCCAATTTCAGCACTTGATACATCCTATTGGACTAGAGCTTTGATCAAACTACGTCATTCAATTACACAGCTAATCACCTATTTGCTATTTAGCTAAATAATTGAACGCATTGTCCAGCAGTACATACTAGTGCCGCTTAGTCGACATATAAAATAATTTCATCCTGATCTAAGAACATTATAGATAAACTCGTTTCTAACAAGTGCCGATATTGTGATTCTACAATGGAACACACACATTGAAATAATGTCATATTCTTCCACAATTTCAGGGCAAAAACTGTTGCAGAAAATTTGAAAATCAACTCAGCATTATTATCGCGCTTCGATTTGGTGTTCATTCTCTTAGATCAACCTGACGAGGTATGAAATTAATTTTAACTTTTATCATAAAAGCTTAGGTCATTTTTAGGGTTCCGTACTTAAAAACGGGAACCCTATTACTAAGACTTCGCTATCTCATGAACAGTGGTCGGAATTAGGTAGAGTTATTCATGTACTTATACTGATTTCATATAGCGAAAGAATAAAATGGATATGCCTCAAATCCCGAGATTAATTTTAAAGAGCAGAAAAAATCCCGTGATTTTTTAAATAAAAAGTTATTTACTTTTACACAATTTAAACTACTGCACGCACAACGTTGCCAAACTTACATCAATGAAAGAAAGAAATAAAGAAAGAAGAAATAAAGAAATCCCGGGAAGGTCTACATTAATATCAACATTTCGATGCAAGTACATAAATAACTCTACCTAATTCCGACCTCTGCTCATGAACCATTAAAGTTAGACAGTAGAAATTTTCACAGATGATGTATTTCTGTTGCCCCTTTAACAACAAAGACTAAATAATAAAATAACTATTTAAACTCCCATACAACAAACGTGATTTTTTTTGCGCGTTTTCGGCGTAAGTCCGAATGTCACTTGTTTATTCTAAACTTGTGGATTTTTTTTTAGAAAATGGACGCAATGCTTTCAGAACATGTACTGGCTTTACATAGCGGACATAAAACGAAGAAACCCAAAGTGGTTGATGCGAACAATAGTATAATTACTAGCCAGAATGACAGTGAAGCTTCCTTAAGGTATTAAAGAAACTTAAATTTTCTGTGCTAAATTTCCTAATGATGGGACAACCAATTTGCAGAAGATTCATCATCATAAATCTATATTTTCATTTTACCGTTTTAAGTTGTCTTATTAAAGAACTTATTTTTAGTCCCGGGTTTAAACTATTATCCAATTAAAATAAGTTTTCTCTTCTGTCATTATCAATTTGCTTTGGGCGACCAATGGTTTATGGTTTAGTCCTCGTATGAATACATATACACACACACCTGTAACTATACATATACATACATACCTACAAATAAATAAAATTGGAATATCTGTTTGATATATTAAAATAACAACTTTTAACTACCAGGGTTCGCAAAAATCCGATATTTATAATGAATATCAAAATATCCGATATTTGATATTTATCTGATATATATTATGGATATGAAAAGCTGCGATTTTTGAGCTGCTAGTGGCTGTATTTAATATTTGATCTTTCAAATCAAATTTGAGTTATTTAATACTTGTTTATTTATTATAAAATAATTAAAAAGTAATATGCGTGCTAGGATTTCCAATAACGTATAAGGGAAAACCCAAAACTAGTAAGTAAGATTACTAACTCGGGCTAATTTTGTCACATTTTGGTTGGTTAATTTTCTAGCTGAGACTGAATACTCAATACTCAAAATAACAATATATATAATCATGTTATATAACCGTTGATATTTATCGGCGAATTCTGCTAAATACATATCGATGCTGGAAAGCAACCACGTAGTAACCCGCAAAACCGAAACTTTTCTTCAGAGATACGTCGATGGTAATAAATAAGGTGTTTAAAGTCAATTCATACGGAGATAAGATATTATCTTGGAAAAATATAAAGATTTTCTACTCTGAAATCCATTTTGGATTTACAGGTTACTGTGTTTGCATGCAGCGTCGATATGTACATGTAAAAAAATAATATTTTTTACATTTTTGTCTGTTTGAGCTGGCTAATCTCTGAAACGGCTGAACATATTTTGGCGGGATTTTCACTGGACTACTTTCCACGTGGACGAAGTCGCGGGCGCAGTGTATATATAAAAGCACTATCATCAGTCTAGCCTTCTAAAAAAACTATAGTAAAGGTAATATTTTTTACCGATTAATAATTAATTATTTCTAGTACAAGATTACGACTGAAGCCTAACGAAGTGATTGACACGCTGCCTCTAGTTTTACTCCGAAAATATATTGCATACGCAAGAAGATATGTTCACCCAAAACTAAGTACAGAAGCTGCAAATGTATTACAAAACTTCTATTTGGAACTGAGACACAATCATCAAGGGAACTCTCAAGATGGCACTCCTATTACAACGAGACAGCTGGAAGCTTGTATTAGACTCACGCAAGTAAGTTTATAATGTATGCCACTCAAAAATAAAGCCTAATAGGTTGTAATAAGATATGCCCTGTACATTGTAAATCTTTTCGTTTTTATTGAAATGCATATAAGGTACTATTGTCTATTATGGCCCAGATCATTTAGATTGCTAAAAAGCCAACTAGACTAAGACTCAATACAGTCCCACACGGACAGAATAATACAATTTAAACCTACGTCAGCTGGGTTTTAGCTCTCTAGTAGTAAAAAAGGGGCCTTATTTGGGGTCAGTACCTTATTCAGGATTGGATATTGTTAACATGTCGTGAAAATATTGTTATTTCGCAAAATAACTGTGATGATTAAACATGTAGTACCATACAAAAAACTTATATACAAAATAAAATTTAAATGACTTATATTTAAAACATGCTAGTCTAATGTTATAGCTAATTAATAATGTTAAAAATGTTCCTTCCTCTAGGCACGAGCTAGAGTCGAATTACGAGAAGAAGCAAATGCAAATGATGCCAATGATGTTATAAGCTTGATGAAACACAGTCTGATGGACACATTCAGCGACGAGTATGGCAATATCGAACTATCGAGATCGATTAACGGATCAGGAATAAGCGCTAGAGGAAAAGTGAGTTGGAACATATTTCACATAAATTAGTATACATTTAGCGTAATATTTTGATTACTTAATAATTATATTGTTGCTTACGTATTTATCACTCTAATAAGTTGTTAAATCATTACCAAAAGTCATTATGCTAAATGGATTACTGCATAATAAGAGTTTAATAAGTAAGGTACTGTCCCCTAATAAAGCGTACTGTTTTGATCTTTGGATTGCTAACAAGTTAACTAGAATACGTATCAATAACAGTCACGTGGACTGATCAGTAAAGACAGAAATATAATTCAAACCTTTTGCAGTTGGGTTGGGTTAACTTTAAGGTTAAAAACAGTGGGGCACTATTAGGCGCCAGTACCTTACCTATTTAAGTCACTAGCTATTTTCCCGCGATTAGGCCTGCGCAAATTATAGCATATGTCACCCGCGTATGGTGTAGCTTAATAGATGAAAGAATTTTCAACCATCAGTATTTCCTAAGATTACCCTTGACACACAAACAAAGATAAAAACTTTATCTCTAAATTGTTAGTATAAATATACAACACTTCAAAGTTACAACTAATGTGTAAGAAAGTTAGTTTACGATGCGATCAGCTCGCTTACTCATTACACCGCCTTTCCTGATCTTCATACGGGGCCCCAGTAAGTAGCTGCTTTAATAATTAGATCACTGGAAGCTTTCATCAACAAACAATTGTCACGAATTTAGCTAGGTTTTATGAATAATAATATTAATAATATTTATTTATTTGCGAAAATATGGTTACAAGGTAGTTTTACAATTTTAGACCAGCATATGTCAAGACGACATGCAATTATATTGTTGTTGTAAAGTGGATTATATTATTTTCAGATGGTGCGTTTTATTTAGGGCTAATTAATAATATTTTAGCTAATTAATAATATAGAATATCTACTATGTAATCAATAATATAATGTAGTCTGAATTAAGTTGCTACATAATTTTTTGTAAAGAGACATTTATATAAAGTAAAATAAAAATAATAATCTGTTTACAGTTAAAAAAGTTCCTGGAAGTTCTCACAAGAAGAGCTCATCAGTTAGGAAAAGACATATTCACCAGAAAAGAATTAATACAGATACACAAATCTGCTGGTGTGTCAGGAGATGCTAGCGAATTGATTGAAGCAATGCACATACATTCATATTTGCTATTGAAGGGCTCCAACACATATCAGTTAATTGCTTTATAATAAAATATTTAAGAATTTAATAAATATATTTATTAAATTTAAATCTATTACTTACACAGACATTTCAGTTCAGATCATTGTAAATTTAGCATAGATTTTCCTCATATACACAAATATATTGTCCCCGTAGGAAAAAGGCACCTAAAGGTTTATCTTCATATACAGTTTCCTGTTACCAAATTGAATGAGTTAATTAGTCTTTTTATCGGTTCTTGATGAGACATCTTGTAAAGCCATGGAGACATGACAACAACAATACAAAGATATACTAATCAACATAGTATTAAAAAACGTTGGATGCATAAAGCATTCAAAATAAATGTTCCCCACACTGCTGCCCCCAAACAAATAAAAATTTGATATCGCAGATAAAGCCAACAAAGGTGTACACAACAGAGCAAGAAAACGTGTTTCTGTCTCATCACTTTTTAAAATATTCACCTTAAACAACTGGTAATAATTTGTTTGAGATAATATTTTCCCAAACTGTTCTAATGTAATACCTAAATAGTTGAGAACTGACCATACAAAAATATTCCATATAGTTCCATGCCACATAAATATGAACACAAAAGTGAGGAAAGATGCACAGAGTTTATTTACAATCCTACTTAATTTGAAATGTGTTGTCATTGTTTCTAAAGCTGGTCTATAAATGTATCTGAAAAGAATAAAACTCATTGAAGCAATTCAAAAATGTTAAATTAATAATAAAATGGGATTGTTAAGTAGCTCTTTTGTTTCATTAAAATATTTCATTAGTTTTTAGAAGGAAATAATAGATAATTACTTACTTCACTAAAAACCTATAGAGTCCAACATCAAAATATCTCCACATCTGAGAATAAACATGTACACGGGCTATGCATCTAGGTGTTGGGGGTGGATCTAAATTATCAAGTCTTGCAAATGCTGTAGTTGTGCCATATGAAATAACATATTTCAAATGGAACTCTAATCCCATCCACAATCCTCCTCCACACAAAGCTATTGTTGGTAACTTCTTAATTGCCTGAAACAATCAATTGATACCTATGTAAAATGTTTCTTCTAAATATTTATTTTTTAAAAAAAAGCATATTCATACCTCTATATCACTCTGCATAGCCAGGAAATACACAAAATGAAAGGCACAATCAAGCAAAAATGTATACAATGCAAAAAGGATCATATCCCATAGAAATCTTCTTAGTTTTAATTTTAAATTAGTATTGTTGGAGCTAAAACTCTTCTCAAATTCTTCATAAAGGATAATTGGCCCAATATACAATAATGGAGTATACAGAACATAACTAAACATATCGACAATCAATTTAGTGAATGCAGTATCAACTTTAATTTTATTTTTTTCCAATTTTTCTTGTTGATCTATGTAGTCTATGAGAAAGCTTACACATCTCAATTTAATCCATGCAATTGTAAATAAAATTAAATACACTTCTTCATCGTGTAAATCTTCACGGTCCAGATAATACCAAAAGAAATATCTATACTTCAAAGAATTATAACTAATAAGAAGTATAGTACTTGCTGTCCAAACACATATTTTGCCACCACCAAAGAATATTATGGCAGCAAATATTATAGGCTGTGCTAGTATGATTATCAATTGTTTGTAACCCATACACAAAATAACAAATGATAGGCTTGATATAATATACCAATATTTTAAGAGGGATGAGCAGGTGCTCCTAATAACTTCTGACACAAAGAACTGTAACAACAAATAAATCCAAGCAGTTTGAATGAAGAACTTCCAACTACTCCATTCAATATCTGATACATCTTGTAGTCTTGATATAAACCGCCACCCTGGTTTCAGTTCACCAAGAGAATACAAAACGTTATAGTCGTTATGATAATAACCTGTAAATCGAAAATTAGTTTGCGCTTTAACTTTACAAAGTAAAAAGAAATAGGAATTCTATAAAATAAAACACTTACTCGACTGCGCTTCGAATAACTTAAACAAACAAAAAACGTTGGCTGCAATCCAGAAAATAAAATAAAACAGCAACTCCGGTAACGGTAATTTGCTCCTCATCTTATTTTATTTATTTATGACATTAAAACATTTTAATGTAATTTAAATTACCTAAATTTATTTTAATGTTGATAATAAAACATTCAAATTTTCCGGTCAGCTATAGATTAATCATTGGATTGTCAGATTAGTTACGACTTGTCAGTAAACTGTCTCTATTAAATGACGTTTGACGTTTTTAGAGATGTGAAACAATAATAATAATGTCCACAAAATTGAACATATAATATCATGTCAATAATCATTAACAAATTTCAATCAGTATAAAAAATAAATTTAATGTTAGTATAAAAAAAAACTATTAAAAGAAATATACGTATTTTGTTACAAATAGTTTTTGCTTTCAAAAATTTGGAATTTGGTGGCAAAAAAGTAATGTTTTCATTTATCAGTAAATATATACAATAGCTGAAAAACATATTTTATTTCATTCAAACGTGAAAATTTTAGTGTCAATAAAGTTACGGTTTTCTAAATATGGTTTCTTTTATATTTGAGAAATAGGAGATCGGATAACTTTTAAAAACCTGTTTATATATTAATCAACATGTATGCTTATTCTCACAAAAAATATATTAATATCAACAAATATTTAACAAATAGGTTTTAATTTTTCTTGGTTTAAAAATATAAATATTTTTTACTAAACTAATCTATTCGATGAATAATCTTTAAATATTATGGACTTTCTAGACACAATTTATTTTTTTATATGTTTACTGTCAGATCATTTTGTAGTGTGTGGGAATTTTATAGAAATATTGCCTAAAGTACATAACTATATTGTATTTAAATTATTTACCCATATTTTAACGAATAAAAACTAGTTATGTGATAGTTTGCGATACGTCTCACTTTAAAAACCGATTATATATTTATCCTTATACGTATTTTAAACTTGTTCATGGGGTTTAAAAAAATGAAAATAGTTGCTGCTTCTTTAACTCCAATCAACGCTAAGCGTAGAGTGTGTAGGTCTTTCGATGCAGTTGGTTGCTCATTGTATCCAGTTTTCCCCTTCCTTCAATTAGTTATTCTTTTACCAATTGTTACATTGTATTCAAGAATCTTTTCCCCACCTTCTATCAAAAGATCAGCATATACATATGATATTATGTATGTCAGTCAGTCGTGTTTTGCTCCAGATTTCGGTATTCCGTATTTCATATTGGAAAACAACATAGCTCACCCATAGTATTGTTTTATATAAATAAATGCTTTTTTTTTACTGATTTCCTCATGCCATCTCAGTAAAGCCTTTACACCGAAGTTGATTGCGATAAATTGAAATTTCGCTATACAAATCTCGATTCTAACTTACTGCATCAACTCCTTATCCTGCCTGCTACATATAAAACATTTTTATGAACTAAAGAGCATAGAACCAGTTTGACTACATCTTTATATTGTTGTAAACGATTGTAATCAATTTGACCATGACAAAAAAAAATGTGTGACCCCGTACTTAGGTCAAGATATTTTATCTCTTACTAATATAAACTAACGGATCTTATTACAACAGTGCCAATTTTATAAACGTTCATTAAATCAACAAAAATGAATTGTATTTTTAGTGCTATTTTAGCTCTTGGGTTTATATTTAACCATAATGAAGGTAAGGATTTACTTATTTGTTAAAAGAAGAAAAGATATATTTATTGTTCCAGTGGTCTTCCAATGACATCATCTTTAAAAATATATTATTGACAAAAGAACTTCGAAACAACTTACACGTAGCTTCACTGCCTTGGAGAAAGTCAAGTGTCAAAAGTTTGCTAGAATATTATTCATAAGCTATATAATAAATACTTCACTTTGAATATTAATTACGAAATAGGAAAATAATAATGTAGGAACATAGTTTTGACCTATAAGTAGTTCAACTACTCCGAACGGATCATAATAATTAAGTTTAAAGTACCTATATAATATTATTATTGATTACATTCTAATTACTAATGTTAAATAAATTAACTTTCCGAAAACTATTTTAATTAGAAATGAGATAATGCACTTTTTCTATATTCAACTCATAAGCGAGGAAAGAAGAAGGGGTTCCTGAACTATGTAATATCATATTTAAATATCTAAGTTACAAACGAAAAGACCACTCGTTTTTTTTTAAACTAAAGTTAAATGAAAAAAAAAATATTTTTGATGTTTTTTCGTAAAAGGGAGGAGTGGAATAGGGTCTCGCAAGGTAACTAGTTATGACAAAGTTGGAAAAGTGGTCAGAAAATCATGAAATATGTGTAACTTAATTAATAAATGTCCTCTAGTGAAGCGTTAACTGAAAATACTTCCTACCGTGTTAGAGAAAGTTGAAAATGTCAGAATACCTGTATTTATTAGTCCACATCGGTAATTTATTTTAGTCAACAGACAGATTTTTGTAAATAAATAACCGGAATGTGCTAATTTGCTTTTTTTATGATCTTAAGATCCAATTTGAACTAGCGTTGTTTACTTACACAGACAGGCGTTTTTTCCATATCAAACAGTCAAAACAGTTTTACCTATGCTAGAGTCAAAAAAAATTTTAACTTTTCCCTGTCTAGACCCAAATGTTAGCTCCATCAACTAGAGAAACCAGTTTCCCGGATTTATAACGTACATTACAGAAATCTCACATATATTGCATGCAAACCAGTCTAGTCTGATTAGTGATATTAAAAAACAACAATCACCTAATGTAATAAAATAAAAACTGTAATATATATTTATTGTTATTTAATAGTATTATTCTTTGAACAAATATGATAATATACCTAAAATATTGTATTTTGTTACAGGCTTAGAATATAATAAACATCAATTTACTCAAAACACAGATTTCTTACTTCATGAATCTGGAGTAAACTCAAATATTCCCAAAAAGGATAACAAACTCGTTCAAATAAATGTGGAAAACAATAACGTTCCTAACTCTAATACATTTAAGATGGACTTTCCTCCTTTACCATCTCCATCATCTTCAAATACTGCCAAACCACCGCAAAACACACGAATTACTCAGCCTTCTGGGAAACGAGATTACGTAGCACCAAATTTCCCAACAATACAAACAACAAATACGCAACAAATAAATCCTTCTGTAACCCCACAATCACCAGTAAAACAAAATAGTGTCGCAACTAGTGCTCCAACCCTTCTGCCTCCCGCTAACCCGCAAAAAGGAAATGTGAATCCAACACCATCACAAAAAAATCAGTCAACTGGAAAACGGGATTATGTAAATCCAAATGTCTCATTTCTTAAACCCTCAACAAATGTACAACAAGGTAAAGTTAAGGACCTTGTTAATTTTTACGATAGTAAAAGTCAACCTAGTACCTCTCAAAAAACACCAAGTTACAGTTCTATTTTACAAGGTCCAAATAAAAATAATCAAGGTAATCAAAACAACCAACCGTTATCTCAGACACATCAAACACCTAAGCCTTCAAGTTATAGTGAAATAATGACCAATTCTAATCGTAACACTGCTACATCTAGTAGAACAACATTAAAACCATCAAGTATTGGCACCGCCACATCATCTAAACACCTAAGTCCAACAACTACACGCCGTCCTCTTATTCCTCCAAGTTCAGTAGTGAATAACAATAGAAACCAAGGCAATAATAGAAATAGCGTTACTGAAACTGAATTACAAACACTTAGTGAAGAATTGCTAAGAAAAGATATAAATAATGCTGCAAAATATATAACCATTAATTATCAAGCGAAAACAACAGCTCAATCATTAGAAGATAAAGCGCCATTGCCGTGAGTAAATCGTAATCTTTTATGCGTATGTAAGTACATATATATATATATATATATATATATATATATATATATACATTGCCTGTATTTTATGTATTTAAATATGAATATATTTATATTATTTGCATGTTAAATTTTGTAATATGTTCATTATTAGTTTGGTATTGTTATTATAGTTTTAAATTAGTAATTTTTATTGCTCTATATCGTCATCGTGTTTATCATTTTTCCCGAATGTTGACTGGGAGAGAATGCTTTTAGCTTTATTAGTCAATTAAGTATAAATAGATTAAGTATAAATGTATTCTTAATGGCTGAGACCTTGAAAGACCCTGGAAGATCTCAGTAATGTGCCTCACCACACTGTGTGCGCATTTTGTACTCATTAGACCGGCATCTCATTTAGGCAAGTCAAACTGCGAGAAAGAGATTTCTCGTAGAAACTAATTCTTTTGAATTATTCCCCCTTAAAGGAGGTATATGCTAAGTCAACAAAAAAAATCAAAGTTTATGTACTTATATATCACGTTATTATTTCTATATGTTGTATTTGAACTGCGTTACACTCTAATCTCTATTGTCTCAATTCTTCAGATATTTTTTTGTTATATAATGTAAAATATTATTTATCACATTGCAAATTTTTATTAGACACAGAAAACGATAGAATGATTGATATAGTTTACTTAGAGTCAATGTTTAAAATCTTGGTGTATTTTAGCCTACTTACGGTATCTCAAGAAGCATGGAGTATTCCAACAATACAAACATTTGTAGCATTATTAGATAATTACGAAAGAGATACCCTGGTTAACGAATATGTAACTCCACAAGTAAGTTTTAATATTTGTATGTTTATTATTTTAAATTTATACTTAAATTAATTCTTATGCTGATGTGTAAATAAATTATATTTTCAGGAGAGAAACGAAGAAAACGCATTCATGGATGCCATTATGTCAACAACAGTTATTCGACACCTAATGAACTTTTTCAAAGAAAAAGGTGCGTTTCATTAGTGATGATGTGATGAAGATTGACTCAAATTAAATTAAAAAAACTTGAAAAATCTAAACTTAAATATTTTTATTGTCTTTGTTTTATTTATTTTTACTCTGATTTACATTTTATATTGATTTGATAATCCAATATCTTTTATTTTTATAGGTTTCGTTACACCTGACCCGAAACAGCAACGAGATTTTCTAAAACAACTATGGTTTACCTTATACTCTAGAGGCAAAGGAAAAATAAGTAGTTCCGGTTTCGAACACAGTTTTGTCTCGGAACTCAAAAATGGAGAAGTATCAGGTATTATAGTACTATTGTCATACTCTAATGTATTGCGTTTTTAAGTATTTAAATCTTAGGTTAATCTCATCTCATCAACTATTTGTATTATTTATTTATTATTATTATATTTTAGGTTTACATAACTGGATTTATTTTTCCAAAGAGGAACAAGCCAATCGTCTCAACTATTTAGGTTATTTAAAATACGAAGAACTTAATGGTGTAAGTAAGAAAGTCTATTAAAACTAATCTTTCTTATACAATTTTTTTTACGCAAGATAAGTTTAATATTAGTTAAGTAACCTATTCTACAAGATTCATACACAAATGAAAATAAGTACAAAGGATCATGATAAAATTACTGAGATTTAAGTTATTACTATCCACCACTCTGCTCCTCCTCACCCAAAACAACCTTCGTAGCTGTGTAACACGTATGCTAATTTTAAAGTGTCACTATTTTTTAAGTCCCGAGTTCGATTATCTGTCGGTTAATGAAGAAAATTAACTTAATTGTCTCGGATATGGATGTTGTGGTATCTTCGTTGTTTCGGATTCTCAATAATATTAATGCTTTAGGTACTGATCTTGGAATCTAAGCAATGTATGTGATGTTGTCTAATATATTTTTTTGCAAACCTAACTTTATTGTTAACAATATCTATATTATGCAGCTTGCTTATCAGGAATTATACCTAAATAATACAGTATATTGTTTTTTTTTTTACCAGAAAGGTGCAGTGATGAAACTACATTTTAATCAGCAAGGCGTGGATAAACCAGTCGATTCACTTTTCATCGGCACTTCACCAGAATTAGAAATAGCTTTGTATACTTTATGTTATGTGACTCGAGTTGATAATGATTGCCGGCTTAAGCTATCTGGCAAAGATGTCAACATTATAACATATAACTTCCGCTACCGTAGTAAAAATCTTATTGGTAGTGCATATCCACAAATATAGACAATAATACAATTATACAACATTTTTCAAGACATAAAATTATACAATTATTAAAAGTATGTTATTAGAACTTGGAGTATAATAAAATAAACATTATTATCTATTAAATGTTATAATTAAATGATTATTTAATATTAACATTTTTCACTTATATTTGATAGAGCAATCGCCTAAGTCCTCTAGTAATAACTAGGCGGTCGCTCTGCAACCTGCAGTTCTAATTTAAACACATGTATATCTAAACCTATAAACAAATATTTTAGATTATGTTACGAATAAATAATAAATTGAATTATTTATAACAGAATTAAAGGACATCACTAAATGTGACAAGACAGTTCAAAGATAATCTAAAAATGTGCACAGGTGTGCATTTGCATCAAACAAAACATCGAACCAAATAAGAGGTTCAGTTAATTGGTAACACAACTGTTGAATTCAAAATATTTTTCAGCAAATATAATTTTACTAAATGTCCACCAACGACTTCGCCCGCGGTGGGTACATCCGAGAAAAACCGGATCTATTGTGCAGCTTAAAAGATTTCAGCGTACGGACAGCGGGAATATCTTTATATAACTACTATCAAATGTTATTCTTCATATTTTATTGATAAGTATTAGTAGAATATTCAAATACCGAAAATTCAATTATTAATTAATGTTTTATTTTATTAATTGAAATATTCTCAAGAAAACAGTCAGTTGCGAGACATTTGGAACTGAGACGTCGCATTTTCATAAAATTAACGACAACATCTCTCTTTGGAATGTCATACACACGTTTCCCGTTTTGATTCTTGTAATCTACAGTTAATTTTGCAAAAATATAAATAAATTACAATTTATAAAAAAACATAATATGTTATGTTATTTAAAAATAATACTGGTCGGGTCATTATACAAAGTCATAATTGACATCTATCAATATGAACTTGATAGTGAGGCTTCTTCTTAGAATTTCGATTAATTTAACGAATCAATATGATTTTCAAAGAAATGTGAATCTAATGAACATTCTAATGAAAATGTGAATCTAATGTATTGTGTTAAAATAATATCAGTTTTATGTTTATTATCAATATATATATTACTTCGTGAGGCTGACTTTTAAAATTATGTATTGTATCGACATTGTAACAAGAACAACAGAAGATAATAATATATGACAGAAAATATATGAATAATGCGTAAATTAGTTATTAATAAGTATAATTTATAAACTTCAATGTTATTGATAAACAAGGTTTAGCGTTAGAGTAAATTTACACTGAGACTGCACTTAGTATTCATCGAAATACGTGTTATTAAACAGAGATTTAGTAAAGGTTAACCTAGTATGAGGTCTACGGGAATAATGTTTACTCCTAGGTCCAAGGAGTCGGTTTGCTTATTTTCTCTATAATATGAATTTTTACTAATACTAGAATCGCAATTTAACGTGATTTTACTCTGATGTTAAAACTTGTTTTCTAACAGCACTAAAAGTGTGGGAATAAATCCAAAACACCTTTGTATCTCATTTCCCACGGCAAATAGATAGGGACAGAGGATTTGGAATTGTGCGTCAAAACTGTTTGATGAATCACTCGTAAACTTCATATTACGACTACTGTTAACTGGTGCATGATTCCATAGACCACAAAGTGATTTGCGTGTTAATAAATTTTCCCAATAAAAAATAATTACAATGGTAGATGGAGTAATTTGAAAATTTTAGGAGTAACACTTATATTACACTTTGCACAAACGTCATTTAGCCAGAAGTCATGTTATTTGAAAATTTTAGGAGTAATTAACATAAATTTTTGAAGTTTTTTTAATACTTTCTCATTTATAATTAGGCTGTTTACTAATTATTACAATTTTATTTAAGTCATTACTAAAATCAAAATAAGAAAAGAAAAAATGTATTATAAGACCTTTCCATTACAACTCAATTTTATTTAATTATCATTTTCTATATCACTCCTCATCCCTTTCCAGTAAAATTGCTTTTGGATTCTAGTGTACATTCTAGTAGAACCTAGGTGTCCTGCAATCGGAATATTATGGTTTTCTCTTAATATTTTAGGTTGTTCACTCAGGATTGGATAAATAATCTTAAGTAAATGTTAACGGTGATTCCTGAATTATGGAATATAAAGGTAAGTATTTTATAGATTTTTGTGTAAGAATGCTTATCAAATGGGTTTCGGAAGTCAGATATTGCAATATCAGTAACATCACTGGATTTAAATATAACAATTTTGACTTGTTTCAGAGCTTCATATATTGCAGGATAAGATGTTTCATCGAAGTGATGAACTTTGGCAAATATTATAGTTTATATAGTTTTCGAGTAAGTCAAGCAATGGTAAATCAGTCTCAGCGAATTCTGGAGTGGTGGGGAACTGTATACCTAGATCTTCGAGTGTAATAAAAAAAACATTGGCCAATGCCAAAGTTATATACAAATAAGCAAGAAACTTTTAAGTTAAATAAGATCAACACGTTTATAAGTTATTTTAATTAAAATAATACCATGGAAGACGGTTTTGTAAAGGGAGTTTGTACAAATTTACCAATTTTGATGGTTGGAAAATTGTTTACAATACGAACTGACGTCACTACCACAAAGTAACGTGGCGTTTAAAATGATAAATTTTGATATGGTTTTATTGGCACTTACCGACTGAATAAAAATTATGCCTTTTTTTCAGTGATTTATTAATACTTTATGAACGAAATGAGACACTTTTCAAAAATTGGTAAAATACCCTATTGTATACTTTATGTTAGAAACAATATTAACAATTATATGAAACAAAGTCATGTACACAATTTTAATACTAGAAACAAAAATAAACTTGTTTTGCCGTCATGCAGGCTGAAGAAGGTTCTATCATCATTTATACACTACTATAACAAAATTCCTATAAAAATTTTAAATTTACCATTATTAAGAATCTTTACCCATATTAAGAATTGTCTACTCAGTAAAATATATTATACTGTTAATGAATATTTAAACGACAAAACTGCTTGGTGTTAAATATGGCTCATTTTTCATGTATATTAAATTGTTTATCGGTGAGCTTCTTTGGCTATACATGTGATTCGATTGACGAAAATACTGTTTTACTCTTATATTGTGTAATATTTTAATAGAAAGTGACTTCATATTTTAATGAAGTCATTTTTCAATCTTGACGCTCTGTATGAAATAAAACAGGGAGGAAAAAGCAGCCCTTGCCAAGTTTCTTGTCGTTTCTTCTCGGTACAAGGTCTCCCGCCGTAGATTTACGAATCTATGGCGTAGATCTCGACTTTCATAAGTGCTTGTAACAGCCTAAACTGAATAAATAATTTTGATTTTTTATTAAATAAGCAAGTAAGTAGACGGACAGCTTTTTTGGATATATGTAATCATCTACCCAAAAAAGTAAGTATCGTTGGCGTTCTGACTATCGCCTGATTGGCAGGTGCATCTGTAGGTCTCTACTCAGGATTTCGTCTACTTCTGTTTCATCCGATATCTGCTCATTGAGTTTGAACACTCTAGACAGGTAATCTGCAAATGTTTCACCTTTTTTTCAAGTCTGTTCTTGCCTATATAGTCGTCGTTTTAGGAGAGTTTATAGGAGGATATGGAAGTTGAAGTCTCTCTAAGTTTGGTGCAGCTTTTCAAAGCGAATGCTGACTGCAGTCTGTCAGTGAAATTCTGCGCATGTTTTCGGTGATGGTTGCGTTCACAGAGTTCTTTATGGCTATTTTTAATTCTTTAGCAACTTTGTTGAGGATTGTTTTGTCAGACGGTAAGCTAGATAATTGCCAGTTTCTCCTGAGACGTCATTTTTCCACGATCAGTTGCTTTATGTCAGGTGAACAAGCAGAACTTTTTAAGTTGAAATTTTTCTGTGACGTATTAGCCCAGGCAGCCACTTGAATAAGGTTGGTTATGTATTTACATGCCTCTTCGACCTCGTCTGTATCTTTTAGCGATATATTAAGATTCATGTTTTCGCCAAGATAGTTATTAAAGCTTTCCCAATCTGTTTGGTGGTTGATAAGAAATTCTGGCTTCTCTCGAAAAATCACATTCGTACTTAGCGTTAGAATTGCCGGTGTGTGATCTGAGGATCCGTCCAAACAAGTCTCTGTATTTGTGTGCGAGCTAGCTATACCACGGGTCAGAAAGAAGTCCAAGAGGTCAGGTAATTTTCTAGGATCCCTAGGCCAATATGTTGGTTAACCTGTAGATAATATTTTTAGATGTTTATTTAACTGCGTAGCGTTTTTTTTTCCGGCTCTCAACCTTAAGGGTTCGGAACCACCCTCCTAACGGGGGTAGGAGGCGGTCAATCCTTCATTGGATACCACACAGCCGGCTGTGTGGTTATGTCAGACTCCTACTGACTAAACACCGCCTTGGACAGTTGGTTACGTGCCCTGAAGGGGCAACGATCCGTCGATCGGAGAGACCGTCCCCCCGCAGGGGGGGGGGGCACAGACGTCACTATTCACTTACATGAATTGTGACATCGAGATGTTAGCCGTTAACCCCGGGGAGCTCGGCTAATCGGATTGAAGCGTAGCGTAAGAGTTCGCGCCCTCTTGTACTCAAAACACGGGAGCCCCAAAAATGGTACTTTGCGTTCCAGTCTCCGCCGACTATGCATCTGGGGTCCAAAGCTTGGAAATAGGCCGCAAACATGTCAGCAGTAATTTTAGGCTTTGGGGGACAGTAAATTAAGAAAAGCGTGATGTTGCCGCGTCGTGTTTCAAGTTGGAATATAGTGGCTTGAAGATGCATCGTCGAGAAAGATTCCAATGGTGTGTGCATCTGAACGCTTTTAGAATTATAGCGGATCCATCTTGAGCGCCACAATCAGGATGTGGAGTGAAGTAAATGATGAATCCTTTGAGACGGCTTAACTAGAAATCCCTTTATATTGGCCGACCCCCGTAGCCGAGTGGTTCGCACGCCAGTTCCAAGGTGTCGCCATCTCGGAGGTCCCGGTTTCGATTCCCGGTTGGAGCAATGTAGAAAATGAACTTTTCTATATTGTCTCGGGCTGGTTGTTGTGATCCTTCGTTGAATTAAGAATAGCTTATGCAGATTTTGTCTTCAGCGCAGCGCGGTGTCTTCCACTATATACAGAATTACAGATATACTGTTTATAATTCTATGGTCCACACGTTGACCGTCTTGTGGAAGTATGGGGTAGTGCAGTTAAAAGTAATCTAGCTCAAAGTTGCTCATCTAATCTTCAAGTCGTTCAAAATAAATTATTGAAGGTTTTCCATTTCGGTGACTTTACACTAGCCAATAAACTATACACATTAAAAGTAATGAATATATTGTATTACAAATATATACCTACCAAATATGAAAAATATTAAATAAAGATATTCATAGTTAAATTACTTTTACGAAGAAAATACAACACCATCTAATGAAACTTAGGCGACAAAATTATTCAAAACTTACTACACCGCGAACCAATGAGTAAGGATTAATAAAAAGGAAGCATTAAAAAAGTATCTCACTAGATGGCGACTCTAGCAAAAGTTGATTTGTGCAGGAAACTGATAGACCATTCAAATTAAAGGTAATGAATATATTACAAATATAAACCTACCAAACATGTAAAATATTAAATAAAGATATTCAGTGTTAAATTACTTTTACTATGAAAATACAACACCATCTAATGAAACTAAGGCGACAAAATTATTTAAACTTACTACACCGCGAACCAATGAGCAAGGATTAAAAGAAAAAGCATTAAAAAAGCACCTCACTAGATGGCGACTCTAGCAAAAGTTGATTTTTGCAGGAAACTAATAAACCAAATATAGTCGTTTCCGTTCCCTCGGCTATGGGGGTCGGCCAATATTAAGGGATTTCTAGTTAAGCTATGCTTTGTTCTAGGTTAGTGAAAATGAGAGTAAGCAGTTGTTTTCTCCGTGAACTAGGAAACCAAAAGATATTTTAATGAGGAAGTATATAAAAAATAAAAAACTCCAAAAAAATATTTCACTAGATGGCGGCAATGAAGTAAATTCCAATAAGGCTTCTATGTGTGAAATAAAAGAGGGAGAAAAAAGCAGCCCTTGCTGAGTTTCTTGCCGGCTTTAGTTTTGTGAACCATTGGTAAAGTTTTCGACTTTCACAAGTGCTTTGTAACAGACTAGACTGAATTGATTTTGATATTTATATTAATTTAATTCCACGAGCGGCTGCATAATGGCACATATGGAAATATGATACATAAAAAAAACCTGAATTCAGATGAATCGAGTCAATTGATGTTACCAGCAACTAATAAGTTGGCTCATCACTAATGTTGACATATAACATGATAATAAACCAAACATCGTTCCTTTACACGTATCGTAATAAATAATTTAAACTTACCATTCAAATAAATTAAAATTAATTTGAAAGTTAGATATTATAAGAAATACGAAACGCTGTCATATTTATTAATTTTCGATACTTCATTTAGTTTAATTACGTCAAAAACAAAATTTGAATGAATATCATAGACAAGATCTAAACATCGCAAGTGACATCTAGTTTAATTCCAAGAATTAATTTTTATTTTTTAAATACTTCCTGATTATGGACAGTAGTAAAAATCAATTTTCGATCTGTTCATGTTGTGACAAATCTTGAGATCAATTTGAATGACAAATATCAATCTAAAAATTGAATATCGTTAAAAAATCTTATCTCTGATAAAATCGAATCGAGTTCTGTTTCCCTTAATTCCCTATTGGCAGCTCTGCACCTCCTCTGTCAGTGTCATGTGTCATTGTCGTATTTGTCACTTCATGTTTTAAAGTTTGGTCTCTTGTATTCGTGTTTGTTCAAATTTAGTTTCGAATTATGCAACGATGATACTATATATAAATTAATATATAATAAAATAACTTATTTAAGAATAGCCTTGAATTAATGTGTGTTTATTATTAGCGATATTTTACATAGTCGAACTAAAATAGAAGTATTGGGATATAAATAAAATAAAAAATGAGCAGGTGCATGAATCTAGTTGGCGGTATAAAAATATTAAATCGTAATTTTTTCGTGAAAATCGAAGCATCCAATGTGTTTCTAAAGAAAACGTATTCGACTCGAGAATTATTGAAAGAAGCTTATTGCCGCACCAAATTGAAATGTAGATGTATGTATTGTAATTTTAAAATTAATTTGATCCAATGATGATGTTTTAAACAATAATATTAATTGACGTATATGTATGTCAATAATTTATATTGTAAAATAATATTTATATTCTAAATTAATATAATATTTACTTGTATTTCAGCAAAAAAATTGCCTCAGGATGTTAATCCTAAAGGGGTATTTGCATGCAATGAACTTGATCTAACAGAGGTTAAAGTGTACGGATTTGACTATGATTACACCTTGGCACATTACAAACCCACATTGGAACATTTATTATACAACCTTGGGAGGGAAATTCTGCTGGAAAAGTATAATGTACATATTTTAACTTTTTTATTTTGGTTGAATTTGTTAAACTTCTTAACATTGTTGCCATTGTTTTTGCTGAAATTATAATAGGGTGTAGACAACTTTTTGAATATTTTTATTTTATAGATATATATATGAAATATTTTGTTTTTCATTTATATTTTTGGTTATTATATTTTATTATAATAACCATAAATACTAATATTAAACACTACCAGAAAAAAATAATATGTATTTATTTTTGTTAACTGTCTACACTGGTTTAATCTGTATATCTTATAAAATTGTATGTTTACGATTAAGTAATAAAGAAATGGTAATTCTTCCAGTATCCTGCAGAAATTTTAAATTTGGAATACAAACCTAACTTTGCAGTCAGAGGTCTTCATTATGATATTGAAAAGGGTTTACTACTTAAGTTGGATTCTTTTTTGCAAATACAATTTGGTGCTGTGTACAGAGGTCTGACTCCAGTCACCACAGAGGAAGTGCTGAAACTTTATAAGAATAGAATAATTCCAATCGCTTATGTTGAGGGCGATATGAGAGCTCATAAAGTAAGTTGATAGTTTTAGTTTTTAATTAAAAATTAACTAGCTATTATTACATGTACATACTCTATTTTTCAACATAAAAAGAATATTACGGGAGGATATTTGACCTTCTAACTCCCAATGCAATAATGATTATTATGTCATGAAAATATGGTAAAATATGGCTTTTAACTTTTTATTTTCTTTTGAAAACTTCAAGTGAAACACTAAAGATATCACTCATTTTCAAAATAAAATGTACAGGCAAAGGTACATCAGGCTTTCCAAAAATCAATCTTGTCCATTTGATTTGAAACCTTAATGTGGTCCCTTCTAATTGCAGTAGAGTTAAGAATCAATTGAAGAAATGAAACTTGTGGTAGTCTGAAGTGCAGTATGCATACAGTACTGCAAAAGTTTATAGTATACATTTATAAAAAATCTAGATCTCTGTTATAAGGAAGCAACTACAGAAAATTTCTTATTTTGTCTATAATGATTCAAAAAGTTTCATAAAAAGTGTGTTACAAATAATTTTTTTCACAGACAATATAAAATTATTTTTTAATTTATATGCTTCATTACAATATTTAATATGTTTAAAAGGTGCTACTTATCTAAAACATGGTTTAGAGAACGAGAAAGAGAATGTTATATATTAAACTGAAATTGCAGTTATAAGTTACAGAATCTACACAACTGTATTTTTGAGGTCTTCACCTGTTATGCAATACCATATTGTCTTTTTTTTGGTGAATAAAGTTATTATTATATTATTATTTTAATGCCTGAGATTTCTGTCTAAATGATGTGCATAATGCAAAAAGAGGTTACAGAATACGAAACCCTTAAATTGCTTTCTGTTATGCAATCCATCATATAATATAGTAGTGAGTATGTGTTTGTTACTCAGTTGCAATCAGAGCACTTGTAAGCAATCATTCATTTATGCTCCCCCTTCTATGTTGACACAAACTGTTATATGACATGACACTGATATGCAATTTTAAATGTCATACAGATTACAGACACTGCAATTGTTCTATTTGAGAGACCATGAAATAGATGAAGACAAGAACAAATCAGTTAATTTGGTTTTTATCAAAGGTTAACACTTGATTTTATTATAGTAGCTGTAATAATGGTAAAAACAAAAGGAACTAATTATGTTTTCCTAAAGCATCTATAAAGGAGGTTGTAGTAGTAACTAGATAATCTTATATCAATAAAAATAATTAATTATATAATCATAATATGACTTGTAACAATTTATCTATACATATTATAAAAAAAGTTGAGTTCCATCTGTCTGACCCTATGTATGTTTAGATCTTCAAAGTACACACTGGATTTTGATGCGGTTTTTTAATAGAGTGACTCAAAAGGAAGGTTTTTATGTATAATACAGGACCACATTGGCGAAGCTGCTGGCGGTAAGATAGTTAGACTAAAAAAAAATATCATTGTTTTTAGGCAAATCGGGCGAAAATGGTGCACTTGGCTGATTTGTTTTCAGTGCCTGAAATGGGGCTATTGTGTAATGTTGCAGAATACTTCATAAAAAATCATATTGATTATCATCCAGAGATTTTGTTCTTAGATGTCAAGGTAAGTTTTTATTTTTTATATAAGTACAGTCAGCAAAACAACAAGTTGCCCAGACGTGATGGATTTCTTTCAAATGATTTAAAATATTAACATTATCTTTCTAGATTAATAATCTAATCCTGAAAATTTACCTTGTCTGATGTGATGGCTGTCAGATTTCCATAGTTGATTCAAACTCTAGTCTCTTTGCATTAATGTTTAAAGTTGAGAGGAGAAATCCAATAGTTTGATTAATTTGACATATTCTACTGTATCACATTAATTGAATATAAGTATTCTAAATATTATTATATCATTAATAAGTTGTCCTAAAAACAAGTTCCTTAACTATAAAATATTTTTTATATGAATAGTTAGGTGTAGCTATATTTTTAGTCTTAACTTGAATCATGCTTAAATAAAATATTACCTATATCTGTATATCCTGTTGCACAAACGTCCATTAAAATTGCTATTAGTTTAAAGCGACATTACCAAAACAAATTTCACATTCATTAGTGCTTGAAGGCGTCATTAAACCTCAATGATTTAAGAATGTAAGTTATTACACTAATTTGAATTGAATTATTATTACAGAACTCAGTGCAGAGTTGTCATCCAATAATGCATAAGATTGTAGCACAAAATGTTGAAGAATTCATTAGGCCCAACCCAAGCCTCAGAAAGTATTTCCAGATGTTGCAAGATTGCAATAAGAAGTTGTTCCTTGTAACCAACAGCCCTTTCCATTTTGTGTAAGTTGCATGTGAATTTATGTGTGAGATGCTTCACAATTCTAAGCAGTGACCCATACAACAAACAATTTTAGTTTAAAGTGCCATCTAGTATCGCGAAATGAACCTAAATGAAAAATATATAATATTTTTTTCTGTGTTGAGTTTAATATAAATACCGACAAAAACGAAAATAAATATATAATTTTTTCTGTGTTGATTTTAATATAAATACCAACAATCACACTTTTATAGTTATAATATTTTTAATACTGCTTAAATTAATAATGAAGTGACAAATATTTTATATTCATTGTCACATTCAATTTATTTTTATGTTTTATTCATATAATAAATGATACTTTACTTCATGTATTTTATAAAATAAAGAAATAAAAAGTTTTCTACACCCCTATTGGAACATGGAACCACCAAATAACGCACATCCTTATACACCCCATTTAGAAAATGCATCTATAATCATAAAACGAAAATTGGAATTTACTTTTATGTACTAAAACATTGTTTATGGGTGGAAAGTTATACTAATTGCTGGGCTTAGCCTGCAACTACAAATGTATGTACTGTAACGTTCGTGCACATTACTATAGGTAGGTTTACTCTCCGAACGGTTTATGGTCAATGTTGGCCGATAATATTTTGAATTATTACTTTTCCGCGTTCGAATTCACGTTTGTGCTGGATGGCGTTGCTCGTTGTTGATTTTCAAATAAATATAGGGTTGAGCGTAAGCACCAAACTCGAATTGTCCGTTTTGTTACTTACAAAACAAATCTCTTACACAATTTCAGTGGCTTAGCGTTTCTTAGCGGAGCCCCGTATAAATTTTGTTTGGGACCCTTATGTAGGGTAAAGATTGTATAAACTGTACGAATTTTAATTATATATACATCGATTGTTATGGGATTCCCCCGTTAAAGTCTGACTTAAACGGAGATATCCCGCAGCCCGTGAAATCGGTTGTAGGATGTTGCCAACTTTGAAACGCACGCTCTACGTGGGTAAAAGAAATTGCTTTTTTGATTTTTGTCATTTCTGAAATAAAAAGGAATTTGGGAAGTTTTTAATATGCTTTTCTTACGCTCGTTGGGGGCCCCAGTCGCCTGGGGGCCCCGTATAATTGATACGGCATATAAGGCGGTAGCTACGCCTCTGCACAATTTGTAATCGGGGTATTTCCTCTTTCTTTTTATGACACAATATTTAGTTTTCTAATTAAAACGCAAATCAATTAAGAATGTACACTTACGAATTAAATGTGACCCCTTGATCTTTAGTCAACTTACTTATATGTAATTTATACAGTTTCGCATAACACAGGATGGCATTTTAAAAATGAATATGTTATGACTAAGGTATGCTAATTAGCATAGTTTTAAGGTGACACTTTTTGAATGCAAGTAAACTGTCTACCCTTTTTTATCATTGATAATGATTATATTTTGTTTATGGTATTTATTGACTTTATTTTTAACTTCAGTAATGCAGGCATGGAGATGCTGGTAGGCCACGACTGGCGTGATTATTTCGATGTAGTAATAGTGAATGCTAACAAGCCAAAGTTCTTCACGGAGGTGTCGCGCCCTATAAGAGTATTTGATAAGAACGCTAACACGCACATCTGGGAGAAGGTCACAGCGCTCCAGAAGGGTATCATTTATTATGAGGTAAGCAGAGCGAGTAGTTAGATGGCGTAGAGGTGTTAGCGCCCGCGATCGTAGTTGTTAAGCTACTTGCGCGAAGGCCGGTCACGGGATGAGTGACCAAGAAATTATAATCTTGTACTTCGTGCTTCTGAAGGTAATACCCTCCAATCCGCATTGGGTCAGCGCGGAGGGCCATGGCCACAGATAACCTCCAATAAATGCTGCATGAAAGACAGCAAGCGGTAGTCAAGCATCTATGATTCGTCATAGATCGTTTTAACAAAAGTAGTAATACACGTATGCGAATCCTAAGTTACGACCAAGTGTTTGATCTGTGAATATACTTAGATGAGAAGACTTCTTTATAATTAAATAGTTTTTGGGTTAACCATGGCAAGGTGTTGTCATATGGTTTGGAAAAAAAAAACAGAAAGTCTAATTACAAAAAAAGATGGTATAATTTTTCAACAGTAAGATAAATTTTATTTGTACTTTTATCTCGCGGAGTTTAAGTTATAGTGGACAATTATAGGTAATTATAAAAAAAATGCAAATCACGATGATGTCTTTTTGAAATCTATCCCTTTCTCTCATACCTCCATCCTCACAGAAAACCGACGTGAAGCAACGCTTGCGTTGTGTTTCGTCGTGTGAGTGAGGGTACCGGAGGCCTTAACCCTCCAATCCGCATTGGGCCAGCGTGGAGGGTCATGGCCCATCCTTCTTATCCATCCATAAGGAAGGCCTGAGCCCCTGCAGTGGGGACGTAAAAGGGCTGATGATGATGATGATAAAATTACTGTAACTTGTTTGTCATTCACCAGGGTACAGTGAAGCAGCTGCAAGACTTGACTGGATGGAGTGGACACCAGGTGCTATACTTCGGTGATCACCCGTACAGTGACCTCGCTGACGTCACGCTCGAGCACGGTTGGCGGACCGGTGCCATCATCAATGAACTCACGGTATGACATTCAGATCATCACCCCTATAGAGACCTCGCTGACGTCACGGTATTACATTCAGATCATTACCTTTACAGCGAGCGGTTATTTACTCAAAGTATGCAACGATCATTTCACAAATTACTCCGCACAATAGAATTCATTCATTCATAAATGTATTATGATGTGGTAGTTTTCGTAGTGAAAAATAAGCCATGAAATTGTACAAAAACTAAAATTTACATTATAATAAACACAGTGATTCTGAATTTGAGTCATAAATTCGCATGATTATCTTAAAATTAAAAGTCGACATATTTGGCTGTGTGCCACGTGACTTGAAACACGACCTGCCAATAGTGTGACGTCGCTCTGGTAACATCTGTCAGATTAGTCGTAAACATATGCCTATTTATTATGAATTGAATACCTAGATGGCGCTGTTCTTACCTCATTGATATCTTTATATTTCGTAGTCGATCGATAGATGGCACTGTTCTTTTTTATTGACATCTTTTAATCTACTACTCTATGCCTCTGTTTTGTGTACGTATCGCAATAACGCGTTATTTGTCTGAAATACCTATTGGTTTTATGGCTTTTCCAAATTATTTTATTTTTCCTACCTTACCTAATTCTTGTTGGCTCTGGAGCCACCGTTGTATGGACATTGCTCATGCCTTGGGACGCGTAATAAGGGCCACCTTAGAAATTACGTGATTGGCGCATATACATTATTTGCATATGAAAATTGTTTAAAAATAATTAACTTTCAGCATGAAATCAATACTTTGAACACGCAATCGTTTAAAGAGAACGCCAACTGGCTGCAGATGTTGACTCAGCTCATAGAAGACCATCAAGATTATAAGGAACCCGAAGCGATGGAAGTGATGTCCCAGTGGATGGCAGAAAGAGATTTCCTTAGGTATATACATTTTTGATAACTCTTAAATGCTGCCAGTCTGCTTTGATGTTTTACGTAATGCTAATAAAAAATACAATATTCCCTTTCCAGAAAATAAATTCCAGACACAGATTTGATTTCAAAATCTGTGTCTGGAATTTTCAGGCAATTTTATTTTTTCCCCTAAATCTTTATTTTGGTTTGTTATGTTTTTTAGAAACTAAAAATCCTTTATTGGCCCAGCGATTCTTCAAATATTTTGAATAGAAGTATGTCGTCGTAATACTCAAACGAACTACCCAAAATAAGAAATTAACTTAACTGTAAGATTTTTTTTTAGATCAAAAATTAAGCAAACTAACAACTGTACTCGTACGAAAATTAACATGACACCTGAAGATCTATTTTATTTATTTGAAAACTAGATTTAGCGATTTATTTAGACTTTCGAAAAGTTAAATGCGATTCCAAAGAAACCTATTTTTCAAAAATTTATGATACAACAAAGGCAAGATCTGACACTGCCTCCGTTGCACAGATAATCTTCAAGGATATGATTTCAACAAAATTATAAGAACGATTCGAAACCTTACGAATTTTCCTTCGAGGACAAATAGAATAGACCTCCATATCATGTTGATTTGTACGTGTTATAATCACAATTTGCTTTTGGTATTGCCAGTGTTACTATACTGTAACTGCATTGCAAGTAACCGCTTGTATGTTTGCCTTTCACGCTGACGGATTGTAGGAGTACTTGTCTCAATTCCAGGAACGAAATTAAGGCGGTGTTCAATCCACAATTCGGTAGTGTTTTCCGAACGTACCACAATCCCACATACTTCTCCAGGAGGCTGTTTCGATTCGCTGACATTTACACGTCTAATATAACGAATTTACTCGACTACACACTCACTCACACATTCTATCCACGACGTGGTGTTATGCCACACGAATATGGTTCTTATTTTGTTTGATTAGAACCCTCTTTAATGTAAATGTACAAAATATTAGTTCGCATCATTTCTGTATAGTGTATTAATTAATGTGTAAGGACAGTTTTTTTTAAAGTCAATTTGTATAGAAAATGTTTTTGCAACTTTTACTATTTGGCGTTTATCATTATCAAATTAGAGATATTTAAATTCTATCTTTAAGTATTATATTACGCTTAAGCGTCGTTTTTGATGAATATTGTGTCTTTCTTTTATTTGTACATATCTTTTTAATCTATGGTACAAATAGCTGGAATATCTTTAAAATTAACTTGTAACATAAGTATTCAGCCAACTGTATTCTAGTCAAAAGTATTTGATACTGTCTCATGAAATGCCATTTGTGTTTAAGTATTTAAGACTTTATTGTTAAGCTGTCTTATTATTACAATTGTGGCCTAATTGTCTAATTTCAAGATATATCGTATTCCCTTTCAATGTTATAGCGATTTTTGGAAATATCTAACGTTTGAAGTCGCAGTTGCTTTCGGAAGAAATTATTTGAGTGATCAAGTGACATGATTAAAACTTAGTAACTCAAACTTATTCCAATTTAATAAACGGTAAATTAACGATATGATTAATTCAATACGAAAAAAAGAAAGTTGCGATCATAATCATTATCACATGTCAAATAAATATCTTCCAAATGACAACTTGATAGGAATTGCGATCGATTTTAAAATTGCACAATTAGGCCTCTGATTATTTAAACGTACGTAAGCAACGCTATTGATCTGTAATCCTTTAACTAAGTGCCCGTAAAAATGTCACTAGTATTTTTACACATGGTTAAAGTACCACAAATCTAAGTAATGAAATTTTTTTTTGTCTGCCCGTCAGTTAGATTATTGAAGGATATAAAACACGTATTATTAGTTTTTTGCGTGATAAATAAATTACGACGACACGTTGAGTTGAAATGTAGCATGACGTCACATCTTTGCACTGTTTCTAAGTATTTATATTATGACGTAACGAGATCCCACTATTATGTTATCTAAGCCATTTCTTTTTAAATTAAAGCAAAAACACGTATAAATTTCTCTATTGTCTGACTGACGAACTTAAAATAATATCTTTTTTTTTTCACCCGTATTACTTTTGTCCTTTATTTTAGCAGTATACTTATTCAACCGCTATAACCAAATTTTATTATGAGGTTAGTTTGATGCTGCCTTTTGTAAATGTTGTCGAATTTGTAGACATTTCCTACAAAATCGTAATGGCATTTTAAGTAAATAGTACATACCTATTTAAGTGTAAAGTATAATGATCGAAATAAGTATTAATCAATATATTAAAGATTGAATGTTAGTTATTGAATTACACGTAGGACCATGTTATTTTTGTATACAAAAATTTTTTAGAGAAGCATTTTTCATAATTGATATCGTCGCATTTTTTCTAATGTTGTATTTGTGCAAACTAAATCAGACTTATTTATGTGTATTTAAATCTTATATAAAAGACGCGGGTCAATTAGATCTTTTATTCTGTAGAGTAGACACACATACATGCAAATTGCCCCGAATAGGTATAAATAAAATAGATGTAGTCTCAACTTGTATAATTAGTGAGTTGTTGTTTGGACAAATAGTTTACACTAGCCATTGGTCATTTAGTCAAATTTTCGCGGCAGTTTGTAAATTCATACTTATAATTAAGATTTAAGACTACATTTTATAGTTCTTCAATAAATCATACCAAGAATTTGACTTCATGAAGCCATTAATTTTACTAGATAACTTTTAGAATGTGCTACAGACAATAAAACCAATACCAATATTATCATATGTTTTTTATCAGATTAAATGACTGGAGAGAGGATAATGTGTATTTTTCACAACAAATCTATGGTAACAACCAAATCTCAATGAAAAGGGGTTATTTAGTTTTTGTCGAAATTATTTTTTCACTTCCAAAAATCGTAATATAAACAATAATATTCAATTAATTCTAGATTATATTTTTTTTGCCATATATTATCACTTTTTATTTCTTTTTATGTTTATTAAATGAAATAATCACATGTTGAAACAGAAAAAAGAATTTACAAATTGTTTATGTTTTCGTTTGTTTCTGTTATTTAGTAGTACGTGGAATATGAACCTTATCAAAGAGGGCATAACCTAGCCAAGATAATTCTGCGATTGCTTTAAATTATCTTTGAAGGTAATTAACGTTAATTTTGAAGGAAGCGACACAAATATTATAATTAAAAGTTTATTTACATAGAGAGCGATTTAATTGAGTCCATTTTATTTAGAAATCGAAATAGTTTGCTATAAAAAAAAATATTTATTTACATACACAAATATTACAGTTGCATCAAATGAATTAACTAAGAAGTCTGTAACAAAACCTGTTTATTTTATCGACATTTGTTTTTATCATACTTCAGACTTATTAAACTCATATTGTTTTTTTTTTTTAATAATCACTAGTTTTTATATTACAGAATTTTGATTAGAATACTGGGTAAGCAGTGTCGATAAGTTGCACATTATCGGCTCTCAATGTCTTGGTTTGGATGGTGAATTGGACATTGTTGTAGCTCAAGCGGCAAGGCCTATCGGGGCGAGCCATGAAGCAAAGGGTGTATAATGCCGTTTCCAATTCTGGTGAGGTTCCCACAAACATGCTTACTTCGGGAGCGTCTTTGGTGTTGCTCAGCACTGAATGTTGCTTGAGGATCAATCCTTTCTGTTCATGAAATAAAGATCTTTTTAAATATTGAATAGCATCTATTTAAGTAACCTTTGCTGTCTTCCCGCGACATTCCCGCCAATCTATACAAATAACTAAAATTGGTGTGTCCGCTTGTAGTATTAAAATAGCCGATTTTTACTAAATGCATGCATGTTATGAATAAACGGTACATATACCAAACTATTTTTTTTTCATTTTTTGTGTCTTTATTCTGGCTAATATCTCAAACTGCTGGATCGATTTTGACGGGACTTTCACTAGCAGATAATTGATGTACTAAGGAGCAGCTTGGGCTACTTTTCACACGAGCGGAGTCGCAGGTACGGGTAGTTTTACATAGTTCTAGTCAGAGATTTATAATATAGGACAAGCATTTTAACATGTCAGATAACGGGCTTTATCTAAAGGGTTGAATCTATTTCTTGAGTTGACTTTTATGTATTGAGTAATACAAGCACTAGCAGAGCGATCGCCTAACTCTCTAGCCTTGATTCTAGCCATAGGATACCACATCTTAGCGATGTTATAACGATATTGCTACTTTAACATGTCTTTTGGTAGATAAATGACTTAGTTACTTGGCAACACTGCTATCAAATTCATAATCATTCTGTGTCATTCGTTCCTCGTTACTAAAGTATATGTCATAGTAGTAAAATGAAACGAAATATTGGCATAACATCGATAAGATGTCGTATGCTATGATTTTGTTCTCTAGAACACCAGAGCAGGTGGTGATATTGAAAATTTACTTACACCAGATAGGTCAAGTTTGTCGATGTAACCCAAATAGTTAGCTTTGTGATCTAACTCGCGTTTAGCGAAGAACAGCCAACTGTGGAGGCCTGAAATCATTAGTGTGAATTTATAATTCGAGTGCCGAAACTTTCGGGGCTGAAAACGAGTTTTAACGTTGACGTTGGTAATTGAATATGTCCCTGCCCTACAAGAATTACGATAACATACTCAATAGCCAGATAACAGTAAGGATCTACATAGTTGTGCATACAAGCGTAGGTTATATCACACAATGACTGTATTTATTAGATTCTATACTTTACTCACATAGATGATTGCGTTTAACGCAGTCACATGGTTACCTATAAATGAAACATGTGCTGTTCTAATAAACAGTAATAAATGTTTATCGATTTACGATGCTTGTTTTTCTCGTTTTGCTTGTCGAATATGTCACTCTTTTATGTTTTTTCACTTACAATACATAGACAATATCATAAAAGAGTAGAGAGAAAAATAATAAATCCATACTAATATAAATGCGAAATTATGTATGTCCGTGTGTGTATTATGTTTTTACCAATTTTAATGAAATTTGGTACACAGAGTGGACCATGGGACTAAGAATGGTTTTATTGAGAAGAATATGCTTAAAGGATTTGAAGTACGGGATGTAAATACGAAATGCGATAATAACCGAATTCCATGCGGGCGAAGCCGTTGTCGGAGCTAGTATTTGAATAAAATTACTATAGGGCCTATTGATCATATCCATTAGTAAAGTAAAAAGAATGAAGCGAGGTGTTTTCATTTGCTGCATTGCACTGCAACTCTAAAGTCACGTTATACCAATTTCAAGTCACGTCCACTAAGGCAAAGAAATTGAATTGAATAGTGGTCTAGTGATAGATAGTATGTAAGAAAATAGGAAGGCCGTTGAGTCGATATCACAGATATTTGTAACTTTTATCAATAGTGCAAAACTGAAAGCCGGATACGTATGACGAGTCGGCCCCCAAATGGGAATCGATATTGAAACTTATGTTTTAATATCGACTTGATGTTCAAACACGATTTATGTACTTTTCGCGACCGACTTCCGCTTTGACCTTGAGATAGAGAGCAAAATATCCGTATGCTTGACTATTACTGAATGTGATATATCTCTAAAGCTAATTAAGATAAAGAAGTGAAACTAACGCGAGGTGTTAGGTTACATTACAGAGTATATCACATATATTTTTTTATAATTTTTAGAATAAAAAATTACATTAAAAAAATAAAAAATAAAAAAATCATGTTTTTTTTTCTGAGTTCTCTGTGACTTACAATCACGAAATTAATATATGTTATGCTCCTTTGTGTGCTCTATTACCCATAAAAATTGCGTGAAAAAAAAGTTGGTGCAACACAACGAAAAAAAATTATATGTGATTTCTGTCTTATGGTATACCCCTGTATTATAAGGTTTTCACATTACATCATTGTTTTTTTTTCGAAATTTCACATCAGCTTGTTTTAAAACATAAGTAACTAGTCTTAAGAGATGGGATAATAGTTAAAAAAGAAATGAAAAAAAAAACAGCCAGTGTTCAATACTTATTATTATTACTTTTTCGTGTCTATCAAAATACAAGAAACAAAATATTAATCATCGTCACTGTTGTAATTAATTACAATCGGAACACTTTGAGTCGCAAATAACTTAGTTAGGACCTCAGCAGGACGTACGATTTTGGACAAATATCATCCATATGATAGATAATAAATAATAGCTGCTACATGAGAACAGCATCCCACTGTACGTTTGCCATTGGGGCAAGCACAGCAATAACGAAGAATACTATTGTAGTCATTACTTTCGGAAATATAGTGAATGTAAATTCGATAGACTTTTCTATTTATATGTCTTGATTTCACTTCTGCTTTGATGATATTAGGTGCTGATTTCACATATTGTACTGAGAGATTATTTTGATCGTCCATTATTTCGGCCAAGTTAAATGCTGCACATTTAGAAGTAGAAGCTTTTTTGTTAATATATGGGATAAGTCGACACTTCTCACAAAAAATATCATTAACTATTACGATTTTATTCAAACAGTCACTAAACACTTTAGCTTCTTCTTCATTCTTTATAATTTTTTTATAACCAGGAATCTTACACAGGTACTTGTTACAATTTTTACACTTTTTCGACATTATTACTTAATAATGATTTGGTTCGATAGTTAATAATTTCAAAATGCTGATACAAAATACCTATGACAGAATTTGAGTCCCAAACTGCCTTCTTGTGTAATACAAATGACTGCTACTTTAGCTAAACAAACGATGCAGTAAACAGCTCGATAACAAGTTCGAACTTGTTTGTTTATACACTCACACTACAAGGCGCGAATCACATATAATTTTTTTTCGTTGTGTTGCACCAACTTTTTTTTCACGCAATTTTTATGGGTGATAGAGCACACAAAGGAGCATAACATATATTAATTTCGTGATTGTAAGTCACAGAGAACTCAGAAAAAAAAACATGTTTTTTTTTATTTTTATTTTTTTAATGTAATTTTTTATTCTAAAAATTATAAAAAAATATATGTGATATACTCTGTAATGTAACCTAACACCTCGCGTTAGTTTCACTTCTTTATCTTAATTAGCTTCAGAGATATATCACATTCAGTAATAGTCAAGCATACGGATATTTTGCTCTCTATCTCAAGGTCAAAGCGGAAGTCGGTCGCGAAAAGTACATAAATCGTGTTTGAACATCAAGTCTATATTAAAACATAAGTTTCAATATCGATTCCCATTTGGGGGCCGACTCGTCATACGTATCCGGCTTTCACATTGTGTTCTTCACTAAACAGTGGTCTTGTGTCTTTTTGTTCCAATATTTATTTATTACTACTCACCAAGCACTTCGTCGGACTTCAGCTCCGCCATGAAGATGTTTTCGAAGGCACAACTACATTTGCACAGGCCGGTCCAGTGGCGCGCGTATTTTGTGAACCAGATCTTTTTCAGCAATTCCACTTGTTCAGGGTATTCGTTTAATTGTGTCAACCCTAGAAGAGTTTGAGATTATTTATTTATGTATGTAATTGGATAGTATTGAAGGTTTCTCTTTTAAAAAACCAAAATAAAAATCTTTAATGGAAAATGCATAAAAATCTACCAGCAGTCAAATCAGATGGAACTCGAACCCACAATCTTTTAGGTCTTGGGTAGTTCAATGGTGAGTGCAGTTCGGGGCTGAGGCCGGAGGTTTTTTCATTAAAGATGAAGATTTAAGAATAGCCATGAATGCATTATAAAATGCAAAATCATTGAAAAATAGTAAAAGTTCAGTCAAGTCAAGTGCAGACCACAGTATGAAAGGTTATTAAACTCTGTCAAGTTTCTAACAATTGCTTATATTATGAGACTTAATGTGATGGCAGTTAAGTTGCCTTTATGGGAAAGTTTTATTATAGAGATATGCTAATGTTTGCACTTTTTACAGACTTGAAATACCTAATCAGGAATTTCGTGAAAATATAATTTTAATAATATTTAGCATCGACGACATATGGAGTTCGATGACATTGTGACTATTTCGATGACACAACAGCTAGCGCATTCGCTCTGCGGTTTTGAGATTAATCAACTTTAGCAAGGTCTGATGATTGGATGGGTGACCAAAAGTTTATTATCTCGAAAAATACTAGAAGCAAAGTTACAGGTTAGAGCAGTAGTTTTACTATGGCAGTATCTCAGTATACCTGATAAAAAATCCTATACGATGGACCATCCAAGATAGCGGAGTCAAATAATTGTGAAAAGCATAAAAAAAGCATATAAATAATTGTGAATTTTCTGAGTAGGCACATAATTATATTATTGCTTTCAATGCTTAGTAGGTATTATGACGGTTATTATTAAAAGCTTACCTTTGCTGACAAGGTAAGCCATTAGACTTCTCACAGGGCCTGTGGCGAGAATCGTGTTGATATATGTTACTTGTTCAGTTTCCTCCTACAACACGTAATTCCGTAAATATAGATGTTATTAGAAATGAAAAATCAATGACACAGGAACATATTTTATCAAGAAAATAATTAAGTTTGTTTTACAGCAGCACGTTGTTGCAAAAGATAATAGTAACCACAATCGATTGAAAACTTTGCTAACAAAAAATTAAGGTTTAAAATCGATTGAAGAAATTTGAACTTTTGCAGTTATCTGACGTGTTGAACTGTGACTATACGTATCACTGAAGTTATTTAGCGTATTGTATCATTGTACTATTATGAATGATTCATAGCTCTACTAAGTATTATTCCTATTCAAATGGGATCCGATTAATAAAAAATCGCGGATCAATACTTAAGTAAGTATCTGCAACAGATACAAATATACACAAGGGCCAAATACAAAACTTTTTTTTTAAAAACGCTTAAAGTAGCGAGTAAATCTCTGTAATTTTATTATTAATTAGCTAATTTCTCCTGACTTCATTTCTAGTGACTTCGCACTTCCCAGTCATAAATTTTATATTACATCTATACACTTGCGTATGGTGTAGCTTTTCTTAGGTGAAACATTTTTAAAATCGGTCCAGTAGATTTTCGAGCTTGTTTAATGCATAAAATCAAATCTTTCCTATTATTAAAGATTTTAGAAAACGAAGTATAATCATTGAAAAGGATTCGCCTCTTACCTTTTTGGTTTGATTCTAATTCAAATTAAGATATAAATTCAAATAACTACTCTCCGGCACATATGCACATTTTGCTACCACCAATTCTAGCTATAAGTAAATGAGATGTACCTATTCTCTTTGTATATTTTAAACGTTATTTGAATTAAGATAAGAACTTACGTTAGGCGTCACGAATTCCGGCCTAATAACGTTCTTGTGGTAGTTATCAAATAGTGCAACGAAGGGCCTAATTGTTGGGCCGTTCCATACATTTTCAGGTACGGTCAGGAGGCTGAAGTGTAGGAAAAATAAAATATTTTAGTAATACCAGGCTACAGAATTAAAGTGGTTTGCTTACTTAATCAGCTATCTCTGGAAGATTACTTGAAAACATAAACTTTTATAAATTTTTGCTTTGCATTGCAATAAATTGTAAGCATACAGTTTTAAGTTTTGATATCAAATATCTCGATCGCCAATTCACATTCACTGTATGTTTAAAGAAAAACAAAAGCAGAACACTATAAATTTTACTCATGTAACAAGTTTTTTTAATGAAATAAAACTAAATTTCAATTTTTTTTAACAAAGTTCAGAAATTTTAAATGATGGACTAGGTAATATTATATGTAGTTGTCATTATAGTTATTGAAAAACTATATCGTGGTGTAATCGTATCTGATATTATTTGATTCTGCAAAGTTTTCTTGGCTATCAATTAAAGGTTTATTTGCAAGTATACTTACTTTGCTTGGGCCTCATCATTTTTAGACATGGAACTAGTTTTTCCTTGCAAATTGACCTGGATGTAATTGATTGCATTGTTTTGATCAGCCTTAAACATTTCGTCGCTTACTCGGAGGAGGTCTTCATCTGTCGTCGAGTCTTGAATCTGCTTGAGTAAGTCATCGTAACTCTTCTTCTTCGCGTAGTCCACTACGCCACCGACGACAGTACCGATTTGTGTGAGGGTATTAGTTGCTGTGTTGCCTTGCTGGCCGGTGACATGGTTGCTGATTAGATTGGGCAATATGCTGTTGAAGATCTGACCGGCAGTCTGTGCTAAGTCATCACCGTGAGCAACTGCCGCTATCAGTAAAAAAACCAAAGTTAACCGCATTTTGAAATATTAAAAGACGTTCCGTGGAGCGTGTTCGCGGCGCACTAGTGATCTCTGCGCCCGCGCAAACAAGCGATACTGCGCGACCTCTGGATGACGTCATGTCCATCTATGTAGCCTCAGATATGGTATGTTGTTGAGATTCAACGCGTCGACATAGTTTTTATGTCGGTAAATACATAGTAGGCATTACACGATTAATGAGTCTAAAAGAGAGATAAACAAAAATTACCTTGACAGTGTCACGGAATCTAGGAAAATATCAGTAATCCGGAATTCTAAACGAACCAACATAATTGTTTGCATTTTTTTTTATTTATATAGCCTTAACAAGGTGTTTTTAATCCAAATCCTAAATACAGATATACAAGTTACCAAGCGATATCAATGGGATATTCCGGGTACATACATAGGGTGGTCCTCAGGTTTTACAAGGAGATGAAACAAAAGAAAGTCTAAAGAGACACATTACGATGATCGGTCGCAGGCGAGCGAACTGCTGAAATGTTAGTCGCGTGCGCACTGCGCGGCGGGAAAAGCGTGGTTTACTTCATGATTAATACATTAATAAACGAGCGTCTGTAGAATGCTGATTGTGCAGAACAGACTGTATGTAACCACTGATCATCTTCATTCTAGAAACTGACTACTGGGAGTAAGTAATTATTAGAACCGTTTACAAACAAATACTAAAGTTGTATCTGTAATTCACTTAGGTAAAGGTTATTTTTAATATGGTCACCCTTAACTTAAAAGTTTATTCACTTTCTTGGAGTTTTGTCTTTGTATCTTCAATTTAAAAATACTGTTAAGTATTGAGTAGTGTTAGTTAAAGATGACAAAGTAAGCACGAGTCTTTGAGCATTTGTGTTAATTGCAATAAGCCAATTTGGTTGTCTTCGCGATATTTAATCTTAACCAAATGCATAACATTGAATTGATAATTTGCGTACACGTCTATAATTGTAAGTACCTATCCAAGTCACCATAATTTGCATGTACTACCTACTTACTAATGGGTTTCTTGTAACTTGGTTTTTGTACAAATGATATTTAGTATAGTACTTTTAGCGTAGCAGGTTATCTTTTTAAATGTATTGCAATTATTTAGTGTAAAAATACCTACCCCGCAGGGATATGACGTGAAGATGTAGACAAATAGATAGTATAAATAATAATTAGTTAAAAATCCAAACTAAGTACCTATATAAGCTTTTTAGTACGGAAATCTGAAACAAGGACAGTACCTTAGAAATACAAACCTAAGACGATTAACAAAACTTATTTTTTAAAATTGAATCGGCCCAGAATAGAACCCGGGCTCAGAGATTGCGAACCATGCTTGAATAATGCGCTTAGTACAAAATCAACAGCAGGTATTATATTATAGTACCTATTTCGAGTATGTAGAAACAGTTCAATCTCGAAAGGATTTTTTTCTTTGTTACATAAAATCCTGAAACTAAATTAAGGATTCAACGAAGCATAGAAGCACCCGAAGTGGTCGATATCGACTTCTTGGGGTCGATATTCCAGGCCAAATTCACATAGAAAATAAATTGTCTGTGCTTATTACTTTGGACAACAATTTTATATAATCTAATTTTATGACTTTGTTATATTTGATTAATTTTGCATTCACAATACTATACTGAACATACCGAGCGGCAGTCGCCCAGATTGTGGAAGGACGTGGGTTCGTGTCCCACCTCAGAACACCAGGGACAAAGTGGATTTTTCATTAAGAATATTTATGACTTAATTTATCAACCTGGTTTTGGGGTTGACGAAGTCTGATTATGCTAATGTTTATGTAATAATCGCATCTCGACTACTAGCATTTAACCATTGTATGTACTATATACCTACCTAAAGGCCAATTTTATTATTTACTACAGTTATGAAATAGGCGGCCTTATCGCTAAACAGCGATTTCTTCCAGGCAATCTGTTGATTGATACTGGTGGCAGGTGATTGTGGATCATGCACAAAGTTAGGGAAATACCAAATATCTATAAGAAGGAAGGCAAAGATAAAGGATTAAGATTTTAAGAATTATGCCCACCAGCCAGAAAATGCGTTTTTAATTGAGCGGTTGTGAGCGTCTGATATCTTCGGGCAAAGAATTCCACAATCGAGTCGCGTGTAACGTAATAATAATATTGGACATCGGGTAGATAGTACAAAATGGCAAAATACAAGTATTTGGGATTCTATTACATAAACATTAGCAGAATTGGCATGTACCTAAATAATACTTATTTGAACCTTTCAAGTTCAAATAAGTTGTCTTAAGTATTCTAATTTATTATAATTATTGCTAACATTATATTTGGACTTTTTCCGTTTTACTATAAAACGAGAACTATGTTTAAATCAATCACCGACCAAAATTAATAAACACGTCTCAATTTGTCGTTTCTCTTCTGTTAATATTATCAATTTGCTTTGGACAGCCAATGGTTAAAACCAAATAGTCCTCCTTTAATAATAACACAGTTTATTTCGCGTATTTTTTTAAAAATTGTTATTTACATTTTTTATTGTTATTTTTTTGATGAGAAAATTATGTCAATTTCATTTGCTTAACAAATTGCAACATTTTTAAATTAATATTTTGATATATATCTTTTTATTAGGAATAAAAAGAGTAAGGATTTCTGAAGTAAACCTATCTTTAATATAAGTCCAAGGGCAGGAGACATAAGTTCATCCCGTAAATGTGGCTTTATGCCCAGAATAGTTTGAAAATTCCTTCTCTAGACCATTAATTGAATGAGGAAGTATTTAAAAAAAACGAAAGCACTAAACAAGTACCTCCACTAGATGGCGACTCACACAAAAGTCGATTTTTACAGGAAACGAATGGACCAAAGATAGTCATTTCCACCCCTTTTAACTAACATATCGCACACCTAGATCTAAACTAAGACAACTCAAAAAGTTAATTTGGAGGTTTGACAATACATTTGTTTACGTGGCAGGAACGCGACCACTGTTGATTCCGCAAAAGAAAGCTAAAGTTATCTAGCGGTTCATCCCCGAACCTTTATTGAATCTGTTATGTTGGACAGATGCGTATGATCACCGAGTATTTGAATATTGTACTAAGTCAAAACTCACTTAAATTTTTGAGTTGTCTCAGTTTAGATCTAGGTGTGCGATATCAAAAAACTGAAATTTGAAAAGTTCGAAACTGAGATATCAATACAAATACGAAAAAGTACAAATAGAATATGAGTTGTTTATTGAGTTTTGAAAACTAATTTACTTAAAAACACGAAAGAAAACCGGAAGAGTTGTCAGGGAGAAATCAAGTACGTACCATAGCGACATCTAGTTTGATTTCAGGAACTAATGTTTTTTTTATATACTTCCTCATTACTATTTAATGTTAATATTATTTTAAAACACTCATAAGTTCTGTCTCTGAATAGTCAAAAAAGAAGCCAAATACTCTTTATAAAGAAATCCATTCTTGCTACTTAAAAATAAATAATTCATCAGTAATAAGAAATGACCACACTGTTCGGCATTGTGTATGCTAGGTAAAGTTATCTACATCCTATTCAAATAAATTAGTATAAAACGGACAAATGACAATGAACAGACTAATCTTTCAATTTATCTTCATTATTTCGCATTACAGACGCTGCAGTTTTATTTTTCACGCCCACATAATTCTATGAATATTGTCTGTGTTTGTTAGTTTGGACAACAGTTTTATATGATCTAATTTTATGGCTTTATTATATTTGATCAATTTTGCATTCATAATGCTATACTGAACATACCGGGCGGCAGTCGCCAGGATTGCGGCGGCATCAGCAGTCGCCGGGATTGCGGCGGCATCAGCAGTCGCCCGGATTGCGAAAAATCGTGGGTTCGAATCCCATCTCATAGTACCAGTGACAAAGTGGAATTCTGTAGCATTATTCATTAAGAATATTTATGATCATTGAACATACCGGGCGGCATCAGCAGTCGCCCGGATTACGAAAACTCGTGGGTTCGAATCCCATCTCATAGTACCAGTGACAAAGTGGATTTCTGTAGCATTATTCATTAAGAATATTTATGATTATTGAACATACCGGGCGGCATCAGCAGTCGCCCGGATTGCGAAAACTCGTGGGTTCGAATCCCATCTCATAGTACCAGTGACAAAGTGGATTTCTGTAGCATTATTCATTAAGAATATTTATGATTATTGAACATACCGGGCGGCATCAGCAGTCGCCCGGATTGTGAAAATTCGTGGGTTCGAATCCAATCTCATAGTACCAGTGACAAAGTGGATTTCTGTAGCATTTTTTATTAAGAATATTTATGATTATATTTTATCATCTAATAAATGTGTATCTTTCACACATGTATATGTGGATATAACATAGATACTAACAATGGAAATGGGGTGAAAAGCGTCCATTGTACGCTGGTCCACCACATCAACCAGTTCCATGCCGCCCGCTACCCTCACAATTCTTATCTGGCCCATTCGTCTTTGTTTTAGACCACGCACACATAGCCGTGAACACATTTACGAAATTTTAGCGCTATCTTTTTTTTCATTGCTGTAGTGTCATGCATGACAGTTACTGTTTTATATAACGTATACCTACTACTAGCGTATAGCTACTAGATACATTCAAGGGATATTATAAATATTCTATATATTGATTTTAAAGATAATAATAAACTTGCTCTATGGCCATGGCCACTAAGGAAAAGTTATAATAATGTTTTTATTATAATAAATCTCGGATCGTATTCTCACAATATTTGCAGAAAATATGACGCGAAGAGGTCTGTTTTATATCTAGTATTAGTTGATAGTTTTACAAAACTTAGTCTCGGTTACACCATAATTGCAGTTACAGTAAAGGTTTATGTCAAATTTATCAATTTCTGACCAGCGAAGCTTAGGCGGTTTTAGTTTACAAAGTTATAAAGTCATCCAATCATTGCTAAATGATAACTCAAATCGTGAACCGCTTTTTGATAAACTTATAAAAATGTGTATGGAATCGAAATAGAAATCACATTGTTTTTGAGAATTTACTTTTTAGATTAGCGAAGCTAAGTGAACATGGCTTTGAACAAGCTAGTACCGAATGAGAAGCTAATATTTCAGAAGCAAAAATTATTGTTGTGAGCGTTATTAATCTGTACCAAGAAGTGTTATCGATGAGGTCACCGAGGTAGAGGTCGCACACGTCGCGACTAGCTGCCAGTACGATGTGTTGACCCCCAACGAGAACCCGTTCTATTTGCAAACATCGGAAAGGTTGGTAACTCAGTCGATTAAAAGAGGATATACTTGACGGACATTTTTAAAAAGTTTACGAGGGCACTATGAAGGCGATAGTTGTTATTTTGTTCGTGTTTTGTTATGTACAATGTAAGTACCTACATAATACACTTATTTTTTGTTTTTAATTTGCAAAATTATTTACTTTATCTTATCTTTTAAATATTCACAACTTGAAGTTATGTGACGTAGATAGTTATCCTAATTACTAGTCGAATCGCCTATTTGATTTTGTATTAAAACTTGTATACAATCAATATTTAATAACGAAGTCCTTTTACTTCTTTGAAATGTGAAGCCTTATTGTGTTCACAAAAGAAATTATAATATTCGAAATAATGAAAAGTTTAAGGCTGGAATGTACCTTATGAGCATTAAAGTTAAGGTTTATGTCAAATTTGACAATAACTGTCTAGCTAACTTAACACTGAACGTGGAATTCGTTGCACCATCCTCTTTTTTCGCAAAATGAAAAAATAACTTTAACTAGTGAAGCTTGGGTGATTAAAGTTAATAGCTAAAATTATGTAAAGTAATTCTGAAAGTAAGTTGGTGCAACCGTGCAACGACCCTATTATATATTTAATAATAAAGTATTAACCAAAAAAGAAAATTTTAACTATAGTTTTTGTAGTGGATAATTTTAAGTTACTCATGTAACATATTAATATACAAAAATGTATAAAAAACTTTTTGTTATTGAATTTTCTATTAAATATTTACAGGCCGTAAAACCTACCCGCCAATTGATAAAAATGCCAATCTTGCCTTCATCAACATGGAAGGTGGCGGGGGAGTGAAGCCAGGTAGCAGACCTGTCGCTCCAGCCCCACAAGCACCTGTAACACCAGCGAAATCACCCACTACTGACAATAAGCCAACTGTCGTCGTGCCAGTCCAAAAACCAGGATCACCTCAAGTTGTTCTACCGCAAAAACCCACGTCACCTCAAGTGATTTCTCCACCAAGTCCTGTGAAACCAACGTCTCCACCAGTAGCGAAGCCTGCCCAAACTCCTAACCAGATAAAACCAGTGCCAGTCAACCCTGCTCCTGTTTCTAACCCTATTACCACTCCTGGACCAGGATCTGTGAAGCAACTCATAAATTTTTATGATAGCCAAGGAAAAGCAAGTCCGATAAGGCCTTACTCTTACAGCCAAGCTGTTAAACAAGGGTAAACTCTGTATAATTCGTTTTAATATAAAGATATTCATCCAAACATATTTTTTTCAATTTCTTTAAAATTATTTTTCCACTAATTACGTAAAAATCGTATCCAGTTGACATAAGTTCCATTAGAAATGTGGTCAACGACCGCTACATCAGCCGGATACATCTAGAAAAGGCATAAAGCCGCATTAAGACGTAAACAATTGCATTTCCAGCGAGTGAAAGTGCCTGAGTAAGCGATTCCCCCATTCCGATAGCAAGCGATGATATGACGTCTCGTATTCGCCCAGGGGGCTTAATCTCTACCTTCTAAATCAAAGTTGGGTTTAAAAACAAAAGACTGACCTTGTCTATATTATTACGGCAAGGATTGGGACAGAGGATAACGAATTGCGTTTAAAATTATTTTTAATTACGATTAATATAAAAAGTACTAAAATAATGCCATATAGCCCTCGGCTAAAGTCACATAAGCATTTTTCCTTATAAAAAATAGAAAAATTATAAGTAAAACGAAATAAATGGACAAATTTAGAGGAATTTTTATGACAGGGAAAATCTTTGATTTATTATGTAGTTTTATCATTTTAATGATAGATTAGTTAGACGTTATTTGTGGTACAAAATTAAATGAGAAAAATAGTACGTGATATCTAAACCATTACAATATTGTTTGTTTTTTTTTAAACCTGACTATATTGATTTGAAAAATACGAGTACACAGGCTATCGTCGCCAACTCATAATAAGAATGGTATTAATGGAAGTGGCAATACAATAAATATAATTAATCTGAGATTGCCTTTAATAATCACTGGGAATGTAATTATTCTTATCGTACCTTCTTTTTTATAAGAAGAATGTATAAATTCAGAAAAAGATGTATATTTACTAAGGTGTGAGAATATATGTAAGTACTAATTACAAGTTTACAGTTATATTCTAAAGAGTTCAAAACAAAATTTAATAAGTGGGAGGACATATTTTCGATGGACGGGACACATATTCGACATAACAATTTAATGAGGAAGTATTTAAAAATAAAAAGAAAGCACCGAAAAGCACCTCCACTAGATGGCGACTCTAGCAAAAGTTGATTTTTGCAGGAAACGAATGGACCAAAGATAGTCAATATCGTTCCTTTTCACTAACATATTAAAAAACTGAAATTTGCAAAGTTCGAAACTCACACAAAGTTCAGATAGAATATTAGTTGTTTATTGAGTTTTGAAAACTAATTTACTTTTATACATGACAGAAAACCGGAAGGGTTGTCATGGAGAAATCAAGAAAGTACCGTATCGACATCTACTTTAATTTCGGTAACTATTTTTTTTTTAATTATTCCTCATTCTGTGGCTCACATTATGGTGCTAAAAGTCCGACTGAACTTTTTTATTACCACATTGCCGTCAAAAGTTCATAGGAGTTTCAGAAAACCAATTCATAAAATAAAATATTTCGCTTTGTTTTTTTTATATATTTCAATTCGTTCTGTTCTTTGGAATTCTCACTGTTCTTATTTCTAAATGCTTTAGAAAATACACGAAGTTATAATAATCTGTTTACTTACGTTTTCACTTTTCTTTTTAATGATTTGGTTAATATTTAAATAGGTTTTACAAATAACAACACACTCAAACGTCGTCGATTGTACTCTTTCCTTATACCTTATTGTCTCGTTGAGTAAGGTATTATTCATTCATTATTACCATTAATATTTTTGTCATTAGATGCTAAGCAAATGGTTGATTGACAAGTGTAGGCATACATTCTCATGGTAGAAGAGGTAGAGTTTATTATTAAAGCTGTTTGGCAATATCCCAAGAGCATTGGCACTTCAACAGGAACATTACAACAATACGGATAAATAGATTCACAAGGGCTGCAAAAAAATATTCATTATTGATCTCAGTTAACTGACCTGCCTAACTGCGAATCAATATTGTCAATATTCTTTGCGGTTGCTCACGTCGTTTGCTTTATTTAGTTTAGAAATCGTTATGAAGTTACTTATTGGAGCTTCAACTAGAGCGATAGAAACTAGAAACCTAGTTACATTTCACCTTTGATATTGATGTTATTTTATGAGTAGAGAAATATTCTGTTACCTACTTATGATTCGTTCATTTGCTAGCTGGGATTTGTACCTATTGACAATAAACGTTGAAACTGATATGTAAAAAATAAAAAGTCCAATGTTCGATTCCATGACTATTACTTGTTGGAGCTATTAAAAATCATTTGCCATTAAGGCTAAGCGTAAAAATAAAACAATGTTTCTATCTCTACCTTATTGCTTTCAGTAATGAAAAATAGTTCAAGAAGATGGCGTATGAAGATGACGAGAAGATGCTCATCAAAAAACTACACGCAAATTAAGTGCGATTATTGTAAAAAAAGTGCATATATATTGATGAGTATGTAAATACTCGTCAATTCACCCTTTCAATGTACTCTACCTTACATTTTCAACGTACACGTCGTCTTGAAATTTTAATACTCCTACCTCGTCGAACTCATATTTCTTCAGTAGGTAATAATATATTGTATATTAAATATTGTATATACATTATAAAGCGTTGATACACAAAATATCAATAAATTGATATAGTTTATGAAGATAATAAAGTTAATGAAAATATTTAACATAACAATAAATACAATATATATCTAACAGAATATCAACATTCGAAATTATAGAATAAGTCTCACGTCAAACATTTTCATTCTAAATATTAATTCTATTCTTGTTTTTGTTGCATAAACTTCTTAAGAATTATTAAAAGTCGACCAATATACTCGTATATATAGGTTTTAATCAAATTGCACGCGTTGATGTCTCTTAGTTTATGTAAACAAAATATTGAAAAAAATAAAAACCCATATATATTATGTGATTTTTTTCAAATTTCATTCAAATATACATAATTATGACAAAATAATTATTAAGTTACAGTGTGGTGCGCACGCCGCTATGCAAAACTGATAGGACTCACGAATTGTGCCACTTTCACTTTCTTTCTGAATCATGTCAGTTACGTAAGCAGAACTCCTTATTGTTACGGCTATAGTCTGCGACACATTGTGCAATAAGTATCCTCGTTTTGAGCCGTATAATAAACAATGAATCATCGAGTATATTCCAGTATGGTAAATTATAATTCGCTGCTCATATTTTTGGAGAAAGGAAAGTTTACAAATATGCAACATAAATTTAGAAAACTTATATATAATACTAATATAAAATACGGATCTATTGAAGAACTATGAAAGAAAAACAAGTCTCTATTATTTTTGTAGACTGAAAATTGTATTTGTAATCCTACATCTTTTGGATAATTCTTTTATGAGAGAAATAATGGTTGTAGAGTAATGACTGTGATTTGAATGGCAAAAAACGAGATATACCAATATTCTTATTTGTTTTTGATCTTGTTCTTAATTTAATTGAGTATCATAATGTGTTGTTGTGAAAGTAATTCATTGTAGATATGTCTTTAAGTTGCACTTATATACGAGTATAACACGAATAAATATACTTTCATAATGTAGTTGAAAATGAATATGAAAAATGCCCAAGATTTAGCTCAACCAGTGAGACCTTGGGATTTCAGATGGAAAGAGTGAGTGGGTAGGTTTTTAGCGGGTAGATCTTCTAGAACCTATTTAGCGGTCAGCCGGATCTTCACAGAAGAAAGTTCTTCGTAATCTTGACGTTGGTCAGGCGGCGGGAGATAATTAAAACCTTTTTCCTACGGGAAAGAAAAAGTTTCATTTTCTCATTGTGAGGATGACAATTTATTGTTCTATTTATTACGAAGCTTGAGGCGAAACTATGTAACTTTTTTCCATTGTTATCCATGCATTATAATGGTTTACATGAAATTATTAAATGTTTTGGAAGTCTTATCATGAACTTTTTAAGCAATGGTTGAAGAAGAAACTATAATGCGCTCGTTGAAAAGTTCCTCTATAAGAAAATTTAGAAAATATACCTATGTCTATACCTAATGATACACCTATGTCTACAAAAAAAATCTTCTAAGTTTCAAGTATGGTTTAACAAAGCTTTAATTCACATATCAAATAATAAAAATAAACAATGGATAAAGTGGTAAACATATAATAATATTGCTGATTATGAAACATTTAGTATTTAAAGAAATTGTTTTAGAATCGATTCAAAAAACATTCTAAAAATTACTTAGATATGAAGGAGGACAGTAAATTTATCTCTCTTAAATTTATTTTTAATATTTTTACATGACTGCCCAAAAAAGGAGTGAATTGTGTTTAAGGTTAATGTAGGTATGTATGTATGTGAGTTTTATTAAATATGGTAAAAGGCATTTTGAAATTTCACTAAAAAGGCATAGATGACTCTCAAAGTAAGACTCAAAATATATATATATTTTTTTTTATGGGATAGGGGGCAGAGGAGCAGACGGTAAGTGATTACCGTCGCCCATGGACACCTGCAACACCAGAGGGGCTACAAGCGCGCTGCCGGCCTTGGAGGGAAGGGTTGAGGCGTAGAGGGAAGGGAATAGGGAGGGGTTGGACCTCCGGTACCCTCACTCACACGACGAAACGCAACGCAAGCGTTGCTTCACGTCGGTTTTCTGTGAGGCCGTGGTATCACTCCGGTCGAGCCGGCCCATTCATGCCGAAGCGTGGCCCTCCCACGGTTAGAGAAAAGTACATAACTTAGAGAAAAGTACATAACTAGTTTATTTCGAACGAATATAGGTAAAATTCAATAATCAGTATATTGTATAGAATTCAAGATCGAGAACGTAATAGAAATAATAAAAATCTAAGAAATTTGTTTGACGGTTTTCTTATACGATATTTCAAAAATGAATGTCAACATTGACAATTTCTATTCATCAATATGCATTTAAAATTTTAACCAACCTCTCAATAAGGAGATTCGCGATTGGCTGAATCGATTCTGAAGCGGTTTTCAGAAAAGTATTGTTAGTGTTACCTATTATATAAAAAATATTAACTCGAAAAAATGAAAAATAATGCTTATATAATC